GTAAGCTACATCTGGGCCTCCCTGGTGGTGCAAGGGGTTAAGATGCAAACTATGAAGCTGTCCGCAACCTCTGCAGCACAAGTTCGATTCCAGGCCAGCCAGGGAGCAACCCACATGGTGCAGCAGACCTCTCTTGACTCACCCGCTGCTCCCCTCAGCAGTGTTTTTCAGTAGTTCTGCCTGTTCTGCTCCCTACTGTCTCTGGTGAATCCTCTCACCACCCATGCCTCTGGCCTGTACCCCAGTTCTTGTATGCATAAATAAATCTTAAAAAAAAAAAAAAGGTAAGCTACATCAAATTTTAGATTTTCACTTTTTTTTTAAAACTTTTTTTTCTTTTTAAAGATTCATTTACCTATACAAGAACCGGACCACAGGCCAGATGTACGGGAGGGTGAGAGGATTCACCAGAGAAAGAGCAGGAAATAGAACAGGCAGACTGACCGAAACATACCACCAAGGGGAGCAGTAGGCAAGACAGGAGAGGTCTGCGGCACCATGTGGGTTGCTCCACAGCCAGAGATCGAACCGGTGCTGCAGAGGCTGTGGACAGCTTCACAGTGCAGTGCTCAACCGCCTGCGCTACCAGGGTGGCCCTAGATTTTTTGTATCCAGGACTAATTAATGCACAGGTTACCTAAGAAGCCAGGATGGTTCCCAAAAAAAACAGAATGACTTTATCATTACTCTATTAAAAAGGCACTAGCACAAGGATCATCTAAGACACTATTACCTTCCTAAAGGGTTAAATGAAAGGTGGCTTCCTTGTCAAATGAGGTGACTCTGTGTCCTCTAGACCAAGGTTTTTGGTAGTGAGGCATTTTTTTTGCCTTGGTTAAAATAGGTAATAAAATGTTGAAAATTATTTTCATAAACAGGAAGAGAGCTGTAGAAACAGGATGAATGTGGTCAGTAAAGAGCAGTGTGGATGGACATTTAAGGAGAGCAGCTGGGTGTTGTTACTGCGTGACCGCTTTGTGAACACAGTTCTCAGGCTGCAAGTGGAGTTGATATGAGTTGAAACAAAAGAGCTGCCAAGTGCGTCTAAGTGCCTTTCATCCTGGAAGTTAAGGTTGAGGAATTCATGTATCTAACCTCAAGTCCTTCCAGTCAAGAAATCCATCCTGGAATTGTTACTGTGGGCACCATAGGAAACTACTTCACAAACAAAACTTCAATAAAGAATATCTCCTAAGGGCCTCCCCACTGGTGCAGCAGGTTGTGTCGCACTGTGAAGCTGTCCGCAGCCTCTGTGGTGAAGGTTTGATTCCCAGCCGGCCAGAAACCCACATGGCGAAGCAGACCTCTCCTGTCTTGCCCGCTGCTCCCCTCAGCAGTGTCTTTGGTCTGTCTGCCTGTTCTGCTCCCCGTTCTGTCTCTGGTGAATGATCTCGCCCTCCCACACCTCTGACCTGTACCCCAGTTCTTGTATAAATAAATCAATCTTTTTTTTAAAGATTTATTTTTTTTTATTTATGTATACAAGAACTGGGTACAGTCAGAAGCGCTGGAGGGTGAGAGAATTCACCAGAGCCAGAGCGGGGAGCAGAGCAGGCAGAAGGACCGAAGTACACTGCTGAGGGGAGCAGCGGGCGGCAGGAGAGGTCTGCGCGCCATGTAGGACCCTCCTCCGGCGGCCGGGGAGCAGCCGAGGATCGAACCGGCGCTGCAGAGGTCGCGGGCAGCTTCGCAACCCAGCGCTCAACCGCTGCGCCACAGGAGAGGCCCAATAAATCAATCTTTAAAAAAAAACCTCATACAAAAAGGGTAGCTTTCCTGCCTGCTTGTGTCTATGGAAATATTTCTTTCACAAACTTTCCCCTTTGCAAAGCAGCAGCAGCAGTTCTCCTCCCAACACTACCCATCTATGACTATACAGGTATCTCCTTTTTGCCTTTCTCCTCCTAAAAAACCTGTCCTTTTAAAATGTTAAAAAAAGGGCCTCCCCAGTGGCACAGCGGTTGAGTGCTGGGTTGCGAAGCTGCCCGTGGCCTCTGCAGCGCCGGTTCGATCCCCGGCTGCTCCCCAGCCACCGGAGGAGGGTCCCACATGGCGCGCAGACCTCTCCTGCCGCCCGCTGCTCCCCTCAGCAGTGTACTTTGGTCCTTCTGCCTGCTCTGCTCCCCGCTCTGGCTCTGGTGAATTCTCTCACCCTCCTGCGCTTCTGACTGTACCCAGTGCTTGCATAAACAAATAAATATTTAAAAAAAAAATTTTTTAAAAAATAATAAAATGTTAAAAAAAAAAAAAAGGTTATCTCTTGCAATCAATTTTACAATTGATTCCTCAAGAAAGTGAAAAGTTATCTAACAATTGGGGAAAACTTGTATATAGAAAATATAAAGAACTGTTGGGCCTCCCTGGTGGTGCAAGGGGTTAAGTCTCAGCACTATGAAGCCTGTTCTGCTCCCCATTGTCTCTGATGAATCCTCTCAGCTGCCCCCATCTCTGATCCACACCCCAGCTGTTGTATGCATAAATCTTTTTTTTTAAAAAAAGACAACAAAAAGACAACCCAATTTGAAAGTGAGACAAGTATCTGAATAACTATTTCTCCATAGAACACACAAAAATGGTCAATAAGCATATAAAAAATGTTCACCATAAGTAACGATTAGGGACATGCAAATCAAAATCACAATGAAATACAACTTCATTATCTGCAAGGATGGTTAAAATCAAAGACACCGAAAACAAATATTGGTAAGGAAGTAGATATATTGGAACCCTCATACGCTTCTGGCAGGAATGCAAAATTATGCAGCTGCTTTGGAAAACAGTTTGGCAGTTCCTCATAGATTAAATACAGAGTTACTGATTAACCCAGAAATTCCTGGCTATAAACTTAACTCGTAGTTACCGAAGAAAAATAAAAACCTATGTTCACACAAAAACTTGTACAAAAATGTTTATAGCAGCATTATTCACAATAGCCCAAAGGTGGAAATGACCTAATGTCCATCAACTGATGAATGGATAAACAAAATACAGTATATTCCACATGTAATATTATATGGTGATAAAATGGAGTGAAGCACTGAGAAATGCTATGACAAGGAATCTACTTGAAAATATTATGTCAGGGCCTCCCCTGGTGGCGCAGCGGTTGAGCGCTGGGCTGTGAAGCTGCCTGCAGCCTCTGCAGCGCCGGTTTGATCCCCGGCTGCTCCCCGGCCACCTGAGGGAGGGTCCCACATGGCGCGCAGACCTCTCCTGCCGTCCGCTGCTCCCCTCAGCAGTGTGCTTCGGTCCTTCTGCCTGCTCTGCTCCCCGCTCTGGCTCTGGCTCATTCTCTCACCCACCCGCGCTTCTGACTATACCCAGTGCTTGTATAAATAAATAAATAAAATAAAAAATTAAAAAAAAAAAAAAAAAGAAAATATTACGTCAAGTGAAAGAAGTTAGCCACAAAGACCACATAGTGTATAATTTCATTTATATCAGCACAATAGACAAATCTAGAGATTGAAAGTAGTTGCCAGAAAAGTAGTCTGGGTGAGGCCGAGGAAGGCAAGTGACTGCTGATGGGTACAAGGTTTCTTTTTGGGGTGACAAAAGATGTAAAGTTGATAGTGTTGGTGGTTGCACAACTCTGAATATATTTTAAAAAAACCTTTGAATAATTCACTTTATTTATTTTTTAAAGATTTATTTACTTATGCATACAAGAGCTGGGGTGTAGGCCAGAGGTGTGGGAAGGTGAGATTCACCAGAGACAGAGTGGGGAGCAGAACAGGCAGGTCTACAGAAATACAGTGCTGAAAGGAGCAGTGGGTGAGACAGGTGAGGTCTGCTATGCCATGTGGGTCACTGCCCTGGCTGGGGATCGGGATCAAATTCATGCTGCAGTGGCTGCCAATAGCTTCATAGTGCTGAGATTTAACCCTCTGAGCAACCAGGGAGGCTCTGAATGGTTCACTTTATTTATTTATTATTTTTTAAAATTTATTTTTTTAAAGATTTATTTATTTATACAAGCACTGGGTACAGTCAGAAGCGTGGGAGGATGAGAGGATTCACCAGAGCCAGAGAGGGGAACAGAACAGGCACACTGATGATACACTGCTGAGGGGAGCAGCAGGCGGCAGGAGAGGTCTGCGCGCCATGTGGGACCCCCCGCCCGGTAGCTGGGGATCGAACCAGCACTGCAGAGGCTGCGGGCAGCTTCACAACCCAGCACTCAACCACTGCGCCACCGGGGAGGCCCTGAATGGTTCACTTTAAATGAGAATATGGTATGTGAACTCTATCTCAATAAAGCTGTTTGAGTTTTGCCTCAAGTGCTTTGCTACCCCACACAACATGGCTCCGGCTTTATGTGCTAACCATTCACACAACTTCCTTTTACTTCTCTGTGTCCTCATTCTCATCTCTGAAACCTCAATTTATAGTACATGAATTTGAAATTTAAATCTAAATAGAGGCTGACGAGGATTAGCTTTGCATTATTTAGAGAGAAAATTGCAGGATGTCATCCAAATTGCTTAAGGAAAGCGTCAAGCATCCTGAAATACCTCACAATCTATTATCATATTATGAGCTCGCATAGCAAAAATGTTTACTCCCGATCAATGTACTACTTAATTTAATAATCTAGCAAGAATTTCAAAACCATATTTAACTAGTCTTATGCCCAACCTATATATTCCCAACTTTACAAATTAAATCTTAATATTTAGGACAAACTTACCATTATACCAGTGACATACAATAAATAAGTGGTCTTTCTACAACTTCACTGTCTAATACGGTAGCCATTAACCATAAGTGGCTACTGATCACTAGAAATGTGGTTAGTTCAAATTAAGAGGTGTTACAAGTATAAAAAACACACTGGATTTTAAAGACTTAGTGTAAAAAAAAAAGTAAAATATTTAGACTTTAATAATTATAAATTGAAACATTATTTTAGGTATATTGATTTAAAAAAGTTTTTTAAAATTCATGTTACCTGTTTGTTTTTATTGATGTAACATGGTTCTAAAAAATTTCAAATCACTTATGTAATTCACATTATATTCCTATTGGATTGACCTGCTCTAGAGAAAAATATAGTTTTTGAGGGAACAGTAAATATTCACTAGACTCTCCCACTGTACCTTGTTACCATCTCTTTCACTCCCTTCTAGAGTCTTGAGCACTGGTGGAAAAGTTGTAACACAAAGACAATACTGTATTCCTATAAGACAACATCATATGGCGCCTCTTAACCATTCTTGCTTTTTGCAGCTGCTGCTTTCATAAGAAGTGATAGTACATGCCAGAAGAGGAGGAAAGATTTAATTACAGCAGTTAATCTGGTGGATAAACTTCCCATATGCAGCAAGATGGTCACAGAGCTTTAAGAGTGTGACGAAACCTTGGGACAATATATCTAGCTAAAAACAATGGCAGAAAAGAGAGAAAAAGAATTATAGGTGATGCTGGAGAAAGCCAGAAATTGAGAAGCATGGATGCAAGTTTAAGAGGGAACTCTTAAATCAACACCAGCCCTGGATATAATTGCAATGTAACCCCACTCACACATACCCAACATATATTGTTTGTCTTTAATCATTAGCATCACTGGGTGCCACATCTGATCAAAGTAGACTCCTCTCTCTTGGTTGACTGATTTGTCCAATACAGTCCAATACAGGAACCACTAGTCACATATATGGTTATGGAGCAGTTGCTGCGTGGCTAGAATAGAATTTACCCCAGATTTTTTTCTGAGCTAAATCTGACATATAACATTCTAGTTTCAGGTGTATAACATAATAATGTTATTTGTACATATCAAGAAATGATCATAGTAAGTTTAGACAATATTTGTTAATACAGTTACATTTTTTTTTTACTATGGCTTCCTTGGTGGTAGGTGTGGTGTGGTTTGGTAACATATACCAGATGTGATTCTGCGTCTCTGTATCATACACAGTGTTGTAAACCAATGTTACATCAACTAAAACATTAAACAATTTTTTTTCTCCTGATGAGAACTTACAGGTTTATTTTCTTAGCAACTTATAAATACGCAATACGGAACTGTAGATACCATGAACACTTTAAATTAACCCCATGTGACTAGCGGCTTCAGTACAGGGCATCAGAGCTGGCCAGAAGCACAGGTGTTTTCTGCAAGTGTTAGACCCTCAAGATTTCCAACTGCATCTGGACTTTCTGAAATACATTCTCAGTGAAGGAAGAGCACCAGGTGATTCCTAGGAACATTAAAGTCTGGAAAGTACTTATTCAGATCAGGGGTCATCTGAATGTACTGGAGCCACCCTCCGACCCCCTCCTTCTCCTAGAAACAGTGTTCACACTTTTTCCTCAGATTTTCCAAGAAGTCCATGATACAAAACTGAGATGTTTTATCTTATAGGAATGTTGTCCCATAATGTGGAAAAGCAGATTTCACTGAACAAAGAAAAACCTTAAAGTATTCTTGCTATGCAAACTCTTCAATTTATGAAGGTCATTACCTGGCTATCAGCTTTGTAGTTCTTCCACTGTGCTTCCACTTCTTCATGTATTACGAAGTATACACTCCTGGCCTGTTTTTACTTTTCAAAATACCACATATACACACATTAGTACAAACTAGAATTTACATATCACACACAATTTTGTATTATGCACAGACTCCCACCCTCTTATTTTTTTGTGCAAAATTGGCCATCAAATAGATTACAGTGCAAATACCATTTTATGCTAATTTGTACTGCCTGGGACAACTGGTGAAGTTTTAAGTACTGTTGTTCTGCTGCTACCAATTTTTTGGTTGGTTCAGGAATCAACCAGGACATATTTTTATCAGGATAATGCAGTCTAGTTATTATCTACAACATGACAGCATGAATAAAAACAGAATAAGTTTGATTATTTTGCTACATTTTCATAGTAAATAGTGCTGGTTTTACATTACAATAAAAACAACAGGCCTTTATTTCTTTTAGGCAAAAGTTTAGGAAACAAGATAAGCTGAGGATAAGGTTGCAGTTGCTTTCAGGCTGTGCAAATTTGCCTAAGAGGAACTTCCCCTTTTGTTAACAATCAAATGTCCTGATTTCTAAGCTAAGGCAATAATGTATTACAAGTTGAGCAAGTGCCTAGAGTCTCAAAACCACTCTAAGAAACCCCCTTTAATCAGTACTCTCCCACTGGTGTTTAAGAGGAGATATGTACAATCTGGTAGATAGCTAATGCAGGAAAATGAACTCATCATATATTAACAAGCTAACTTCATTCCCAGATGAAGATAACATAAATTTAGCCTCCCCCCTTTTTTTTTTAAAAAATGTAGATTTATAAATGCAAAACCATTGGATGTACTTGCAATAAGCACAAGTAGATTACTTTAGAAAATACTCTCTCCACCATCAATTTGATGAAAGAGAACAACCTGCTAATGCTGAAAAGTACCAGCAGATTATCATTCATTTAATAAATTTAGCCTTTGTGGGACAAAGGATTCTTTAGAAATCTGTCAGCTAAAAGGTGAATTTACTACAATATTTCTAATCTTTTCTAACTTCCACAGGGTGATAGACATCACTAAAAGACAAGGATGAAAAATAGTTCTCAATCTTGCTTCCATTGCCAGATTGAGGACAAATGTCACTCGCACTCCCATGGTGTGATATTCCTAGTAAAGTAGCTTTTTCTCCATTCTTTTCCTTTCCACTCCAGCGAGCACACTGGAAGGCAAGTAAATGGTACAATTAGAAGAATAACCTTAAATTCAGTATAACCTGGTTGGTTGGTCGTATCACTTTACTCTTGTATTATCCTCATGGTATCTCATACCCAATCATGACACATCTTTTTCTGAGAATCCTTTCATCACTTAGTTTTTTGCATTCAGTCAGGGCCAAGATTCTCATTAACACTCAGTTTTAGAATTTGTTTGATTTATTAACATAATCAGCGGATAGGAGTTTTAGAAAATATTTATTATATTTGGTTCTAGAAATTATAGAAAATAAAAACTGGTACAATTAAGTCACATACTCTTGGAAAGGCATATATGTCCATTCACACCAGAGAAAAGTTTTATGCAATGCCAGAAATGGAAACTACCTAAGCAATCAGTGGCAAAGGCTAATGCTGCAGAGGGGAGAAGCCCTTGTAAGTTTCCTTCTGTACTATTACTTACTTTTGGGGAAATATCAGTCCAGTGGAAAGATTTCTGAACATAAAAGGCACGTAGAGTAAAAATTAGACCTTAGCTAATAAAAATAGCTGCACACGTTTACATCAAGAAAAAAAGGCCCTATCAAGGTGGATTTCTTGCAAGGCAAAGATAATATAAATGCAAAAGCTATTACAACTAAATATCTAGAAACACTTACCTGAACCTGGTACATGAGCTAGATAATGATAATCACATTTGTGTTTATAAGCCTCTAGATGTTTTATCATCATTTAAATAAGCAAGAATACAGTTTTTATATATTCATGGTGGGGGTGCTTTAATTATTTACCCACATTTATTTTGGAGTATTTTTTCTTAAATTGCACTGTGGTGTATTGCATTAAAAATTCCTGTTATCTTTCAAGAATATAGCAAAACCTAAAACTGATACTTTAAACCAAAAATCTATTTTTTTTTAAGATTTTTCTATTTATTTATACAAGCACTGGGGTACAGGCCAGAGGTGTGGGAGGGTGAGAGACTTCACCAGAGATGGAGCAGGGAGCAGAACAGGCAGAAGGACTGAAATACACTGCTGAGGGGAGCAGTGGGCGAGACAGGAAGGTCTGCCACGCCATGTGGGAATCGCCCTGGCCAGTTGGGAATTGAACAGCCTCACAGCGCTGTGCTCAACCCACTATGCCACCAGGGAGGCCCTCTCTCTTTTTTTTTTTTATAATTATAAAGCCTGTAAAGCTGAAATTTTGCTATGATTTAAGCACCTGAAATATATTCTGATCAATTTACATTTTCTGAGCTAGAATTAGGATTCTCAGGATTTGTATATGTGTATAAACATTGCAAATTATTTAAGCTAATAAAAACTTGAAAAAATACAAATAATCTTTTGCTACAAAGATCCAAAATCCACATGTTGGTCTAATGAGCACAAAGCCAGCAAACACTTTGCATTTTCTCATCTGTGGACACAGGACTTAGCGCAGCCAGGTGGTATTCAGCTGGGTCTGGTTCTTGATGCTGGTATCCATTTTTAGCACTTCTCGAATGGCCATGGTAGCATAGGTAGAAGGAGGAAGAGAAAAATCCATCTTCAGAGCTCTGTATTTGCCTTCTGCTGGCAAGAAAGAACAGTCAGAAAACTAAGGCAGCTGCAGACAAGACTGAGGCGAGTCATATTGTCTCTACACAAATAAAAGAACTGTGCTCTTTCTGAAGATTTCCATTCCCTTGGGGGCCTCAGAAAATGAGATGTGGAAGTAAGAGATCTGTGAGGGTTTGACCCAGCTGAGTCTCTACGGTAATTCTACCTGGGAACTTTCATAAAAAGGTCAGGGCCTCCCTGGTGGCACAGCGGTTGAGCGCTGGGCTGCGAAGCTGCCCGCAGCCTCTGCAGCACCGGTTCGATCCCCGGCTGCTCCCCGGCCACCAGAGGAGGGTCCCACATGGCGCGCAGACCTCTCCTGCCACCCGCTGCTCCCCTCAGCAGTGTACTTCGTCGCTCTGCCTGTTCTACTCTCCACTCTGGCTCTGGTGAATTCTCTCACCCTCCTGCGCTTCTGACTGTACTCAGAATAAAATAAAATAAAAAAATAAATCTTTAAAAAAAAAAAAAAAAAGGTCAGACGATAGAAAAGCACAACAGAGAAATGCACGTCAAAAAAAAAAAAAATTGGAAGGCAGGGGAAAACAGACAAAGGAACTGCGACAGACAAGAATTCAAATGTAATGCTTTTGATTCTCTTTCTGGATTTTCACTCGATTTGATAATCTCTATGGAGAGTGGGGAGCAAATATGCTAATAACCGAATTTCACAATCTTCTTCATCTCCCCCCCCCCAAGATTTATTTATTTATGCATACAAGAATTGGCCAGAGGTGTGGGGGGTGAGAGGATTCACCAGAGACAGAGTGGGGAACAGAACAGGCAGACTGACCAAAATACACTGCTGAGGGGAGCAGCAGACGAATCAGGAGAGGTCTGCTGCGCCATGAGGGTAGCTCTCTGGGAGGGGATTGAACTCATGCTGCAGCGGCTGCGAATAGCTTCATAAGTTGCATCTTAACCCCTTGTGCCACCAGGGAGGCCTGAGAGTTGTTTTTTTGCGTGCATTTGTATAAGAAAATATTTCAAAGTTGACAAGGAGCTGATGACTGAGTAAACTCACCAGAAGCAAAAACTGGTGGCGGTTTCCCTTCTAGATTGTCCACATCTGTGTTGAAGAGTGGAATTTTAGGATCATCATATGCAACAACTTCCCTTCAAAACATTTAAAGAAAAACAAATGTAAACTTTCACAGAAGGAAGTAACCTGCTTACCCCCATTTGTTTGGCAAGGAAAACATGTTAAGTCTATTATAAATAATTACAGGTAAGACAATATAGTACAAAATAGGGTTAGATTTCATATATAAGTATTATCTTTATATCACTGTATAGTAAGATGCCAGACAATGGCAGCCTACATAAATAGTCACTCACAAGGAATTGCTCTGGGTGGGGGGTGGGGAGGGGAGATGGACAGAAGATGACATAAAAATCTAAATCTGCCAAGCTCTCCCCACAATCCAGGGTAGAGAGAGATGGAGAGAAGAGATGGCAAAGGCCAAGAGAATTAATTTCTTGCTAACAGGTAAGTAGTTCAGGATTTAATTTTTTTTATTATCAAATAAAGCTTAAGATAATTCTGTAAGTATTACATTATTTTAAAATGAGTAATGTAATTATTTTTTTCTCTGTAGCAACACACGAAAATGACCAGATTGGGATTTGGAACTCACAGCTAATTCTGAGCAAGGAAATTTGGGATAGCTCTGTAGGCAAATGTCAGTTTCTTAATAATAGGGAAAAAGTTCATTTTCTGCACAGTCTTCCGTAATTCGGTACTGTTAATAAAACATAAACTAAGCCACTTTCACTATTTAGCATTTATTTATTTTTGATGATTTGAGAAATAACAAGTAGTAACAGTAGATGAAATACTTCCATGCCAGGTTCTAAACATGAAAATTATATGTGTGAGGCAAAAACTTAAAATCTTACATTGTAATTTGTTTCTGTTTTATTCCAGACTATTACTTACCAGCTGACATTCTGAGGACGAATAATGATCTTCCGGTAGGCTCCTGATAAGGAATAATCTCGAATTTTGTGTCTCATGTTGTCAATATCAAGATTATCTGCTGTGAGCATTTCCCTGTAGGCTTCACTAACTAACATAAAATGCAAAAAGTTAGTTGGAATGCAGTTTGTTAGCAATCTACCTTTAATTAAACTGCAAAAAGAGTAACATGTAAATCCATTTAGATTATCTGAACAAAATTAGTCACTCTAATTTATTTATTTAAAAAAGATTTATTTAGGGCCTCCCCGGTGGTGCAGCGGTTGAGCGCCACCTGGGGTGTAAGGTTCCCAAGCTACTTACAAAAGGCCACTTCACCAGAAGTTGTTAACCTACAATTCATGTGTTCTGAGTAGGAAAAAACCATACATGGAGGCCTCAAACTCTTTCTGGAAGTAGTAGTTATAAATAAATGCATAAAAATAAGAAACCTGGGAAAACCATCTGGCTCACCCTCGCACCTGATGTAGAATCTTTTTTATAACATCCGAGAAACAGTCATCGAGCTTTGACTTGAACATTGCCATCTACGGAGAGCCACTTCTTCGTGAGGCATGCAGTTATTGCAAACTTTTTCCTATTCTAAGCTGAATCTGTCTTCTTATAACTTCTGGTGACCATTTGGAAGAGAGCAGATTAAATGCACTCTTCCACATATAGTTATTAGTACTGGACCTTAAAGTCATGTATTTTCTATGCCAAACAATCCTCCCTACATCAACTGTACCTCCTGTGCCATTTCTGTATTCTAAAGCACACTTTGTATCTGTCTCACAGTAACTGGCTTATGATACCTCAGATACTTTTTTTTCTAATTTTTTAAAAGATTTATTTATTTATTTATACAAGCACTGGGTATAGTCAGAAGCGTGGGAGGGTGAGAGAATTCCCAGAGACAGAGTGGGGAACAGAACAGGCCAACTGATGAAATACACTGCTGAGGAGAGCAGCGGGTGAGACAGGAGAGGTCTGTCGAGCCATGTGGGACCCTCGCCAGTGGCCGGGGATCGAACCGGTGCTGCAGAGGCTGCGGGCAGCTTCACAGCCTGGCGCTCAACCGCTGCAACACCAGGCAGGGGAGGCCCTACCCCAGATACTTTTTTGCAGACTACTGTGAAAATGGATCTTTCCTATCTATATGCTTGCTCTCTGAATAGACATGTGAGAACTTACATTTAACCCTTTCAAACGCCCCCTGAGTTTTCTGAGTATTTACTTTTTCATTAAGATTTTTTTAAATTGGGCCTCCCTGGTGGTGCAGTGGTTGAGCGCTGGGTTGCAAAGCTGCCCGCAGCCTCTGTAGCGCCGGTTTGATCCCCGGCTGCTCCCCAGCCACCGGAGGAGGGTACCACATGGTGCGCAGACCTCTCCTGCCGCCGGCTGTTCCCCTCAGCAGTGTACTTCGTCAGTCTGCCTGCTCTATTCTCCGCTGACTCTGGTGAATTCTCTCACCCTCCCACGCTTCTGACTGTACCCAATGCTTGTATAAAATAAATAAATAAATCTTTTTAAAAAAAAAAAGATTTTTTTAAATTGATGCATAGAACTGGGGTGTAGGCCAGAGGTGCAAGGTGTGTGTGTATGCGTGAGTGTGCATGAGAGGGAGGATTCACCAGAGACAGAGTGGGGAGCAGAACAGGAACTGCTGAGGGGAGCAGTGTGTGGGACAGGAGAGGTCTGCTGCACCATGTGGGTTAGCTCCCTGGCCAGGGAGTGAACTCATGTACAGTGGCTGGCACAGCTTGATAGCGCTGAGACTTTAACCCCTGCACCACCAAGGAAGCCCCCTAAATACTTACTTTTCATATAATTAACTATTTTGTGTTATACAATTTGCAAATAGGATATGCAGCTTTCTTTACTCAAGGTACTCATTAAAAATGTTGGATGTGGGCCTCCCTGGTGGCCCAGGGATTAAGTCTCAGCACTATCACCACCACTGCTTAAGTTCGATCCCCAGCCAGGGAGCTAACATACATGGCATAGCAGACCTCTCCTGTCTCGCCCGCTGCTCCCCTCAGCAATGTATTTCAGTAAAGCCGCCTGTTCTGCTCCCTACTCTTTCTCTGATGAATCCTCTTAACCACCAATATTTCTGACCTATACCCCAATTCTTCTATGCAAATATAAAATAAAAAAAAGTTCGGTAGACCAGGCTCAAGGAAACATTTCCACATGACACACTAATGAAAGCCATGGGGATCCCTAAACAGAGAATGGTGCCCAGCCGGGCACCAACTGTATAAATGTCCCATAGCAACACCTCTGAGCTGTAATACCTGTGAACCTGTAGTGATCAATCACAAGCTTATGAATGGCTGTCAAAGGCTCAGCTGAATATTTGTTTGAATTGGTCTTTACTCAAGTTCCTGATCCTGAGGACAAGAATTAGGAAATAGAATGTTTCTGTTTATTTCCTTGGAAGGCTACGGAAATGTGGCTTTGAGCATCCTAGTGCCTTCCCTCTGACTAGTTCCTAGCATGGCTATCTGGGGTTCTCACCGCTGTGCTGTCTACACATAACAGGCAACTCACACTCCACTCCACTAGCCACCTCTCTTATTCATTTCCCCCTTTTCTCTATTCCTTTTTCCTCAGTGATGTCCACTTCCCAGATGTATCAGGGGCACAGTAACTTGATTAAATTAATCAAAATATAAGTGCCGAATTCTTTTTTTTAAAAAAAGATTTATTTATGTATACAAGAACTGGGGTATAATAGGCCAGAGGTACAGGGGTTGAGAGGATTCACCAGAGACAGAGCAGAACAGGAAGACTGACTGAAATAAACTGCCGAGGAGAGCAGTTGCTGAGACAGGAGGGGTCTGCTGTGCCATGTGAGTCAGCTCCCTGGCTGGGGATCAAACTAGTGCTGCAGTGGCTGTGGATAGTTTCATAGTGCTGAGATGTAACCCCTTGTGCAACCAGGGAGGCCCCAAGTGGTAGATCTTACTTCACTTTTATAAGTATTTGTATTATCAAGAAGATTGTTAATCCTAATCATTCTATAATTTACAAAAGCCCTATGAATATAACATAGTTAAGTCAAGTCATTCTGGGCTCTTGAGAGAAAAGACAATTTAACAGGGGGCCATTCCTAGACCCACAGACCAGTCCTAGTCAGGAATAAACTTCCAGAGTTATTCCATGAAGTTGGTCCCAGGGTAGAGCTTTCTTGTTAATCAATGTGTGAATCCCTGAACAACAAAAAGTTCCAATTCTGCTGCCCACCTCCAGCCGCCAGCGGCTTCTATTAAAGTAAAAGAAAGAATTCTTGATAGCTTCTGGGTAGGGAATTCTAAGTTTTCACTTTATAAACTTCTGAATTTAATGACTTTTTGAATACCATGAGCAGATATGAGTTTTTTTAAAAAAAAAAAAAGCTTACAAAACATAAGGTTAAAGTACATATTTTTTTTAAAGTACCATTATTGATTCACTTTCTCAATGTCTCTTTCTAATCTCCCCCTCTTTTTTTTTAAAAAAAGATTTATTTTATTTATACAAGAGCCGGGGTACAGGCTAGAAGCGTGGGAGGATGAGAGGATTCACCAGAGACAGAGGGGGTAACAGAACAGGCAGACTGACGCAATACACTGCTGAGGGGAGCAGCAGGCGACAGGAGAGGTCTGCTCACCACGTGGGTTGCTCCAAGGCTGGCGGGGATCGAACCAGCACTGCAGAGGCCGCAGACAGCTTCACAGCGCTGCACTCAACTGCCTACGCCACCAGGGATGCCTTCTTTCTAATCCCTTTCTATCCTTACTATGAATTAATGAATTTCAGAAGTTAGAAAAAATAATGGCAATAACAATTCTAGTAACCAATACCAATACTGCTATTACGAATAATATCGTCTCCACCATCCAATTTCTTTTTTTTTTTTAAGTAATTTTTTTTTTAATAGAGGCATGTTTTATTTATTTATTTGTTTGTTTGTTTATACATGCACTGGGTACAGTCAGAAGCGCAGGAGGGTGAGAGAATTCACCAGAGCCAGAGTGGGGAGCAGAGCAGGCAGAAGGACCGAAGTACACTGCTGAGGGGAGCAGTGGGCGGCAGGAGAGGTCTGCGCGCCATGTGGGACCCTCCTCCGGTGGCCAGGGAGCAGCCGGGGATCGAACCAGTGCCGCAGAGGCTGCGGGCAGCTTCGCAACCCAGCGCTCAACCGCTGCGCCACCGGGGAGGCCCACCATCCAATTTCTTAATTCAAGTTATCCATCTAAATACATCCCATTTTGGAAACTTTCACAAGTAAACATGGTTTATGTATTTGAAATCTAAATATTTTTTCAAGTCTGATGGAAATCCAAGTTCAAAAATTATACTTAAGGTACTGATGCCACCCCCTAGCTGTCAGTGGCTTAATTATATTAGATTTTTTAAACCTTTCCTCATTTGGGTAACTTACTTTTATGTTTTGGATAGATAACATCGAAACCAGGCAAGGGCATTACCACATCATGGATGGAGTAATTATTAACATCTTCTTCCTCAATATAGGTGGCTGTGGCTACAAATTCACAAGTGAACAATAAATTAAAACTTAATAGGCAACATTTTCAAGAGCTCCACTTCTAAACATACACATGCCTAAGAAGTCAGAAGTGCAAGTTGGGACAAGTCCTGTAGCTGAGGAAGCTTAAAAAAGTTAAGTTGGTTACCTTTCTGTCTTTTCTATTCTACCTAAGAAATAAAAAATTCAAGGATTTAGAAAAAAATAGAGCTAGTTAAAAGATCGTTTATGTATTAGCTGTGCCCTCATTCTGAGGGAATGCTTGCCTTTTTTCCCCCAGGGGAAAAGAACTTTCATACAACTAGTGTACAAAAGAGACAACAGAAAGAAAAGATAAAATCTTCCATTTCTGAAAAATAGCCCATCAGTCCAGGAAGGCTTGCTTTTTAAAATCAGCTCCTTTTTGGAACTCTCCTGCACTGTTGGTGGGAGTGCAAACTGGTCCAACCACTATGGAGAGCTGTGTGGAGATTTCTTGACCTACTAAACATAGAGCTTCCATATGATCCAGCAATTCCACTCCTAGGTATTTACCCAAAGGACACAGAAACATCAATTCCAAAGAGCACCTGCACCCCTATGTTTATAGCAGCACTATTTACAATAGCTAAGCTTTGGAAACAACCCAAAAGCCCAAAAATAGATGACTGGATTAAGAAGATGTGGTACATATACACCATGGAATATTACTCAGCATTCAAAAAAGATAAACACATGCAATTTGCAGCAACATGGATGGAGCTGGAAGGGATCATGCTCAGCAAAATAAGCCAGAAAGAAAAAGAAAAATACTGGGTGGTCTCACTCATAGCAGGAACCTAGAAAACTTAAATAAGGGACCAGGAAAAAGAATAACTATAAGAAAGAAAATATCAAAATCAACAAACAACTATGAACCAGAAACACTCTATGGGGGGCGGGGGGCGGGGAAAGGAGGGCTTGGGTCAAAATAAGGGGGCTGTAATTGTATGGGGAATATAAAAAATAAAATTTAAATAAAATGTGAAAAAAAAAGTGTTAAATTCCATGAGGTCCGGAAAAAAAAAAAATAAGTAAAATCAGTTCCTTTTTCCTTTTTAAATACAAAATGCTATTTGGAAAGTTATCATGAATGAATGCATTTTGCTAAAAGAATAAACAATTGAAAAACCAGTCTGTATTTAGAGGATGAAATGTGGTAACTGAGGGGAAATGAAACACTAGATGTAATCAATACTGGATAGGGAAAAATGTTGTAGAAGAAAAAATATTAGAATTTCTGGACAAGTCAAAAACCTTTGTGGACTGATTGGGTTCCCCTACAGAGGAGGCTGTTTTAGCACAGAGGGCAGCAGGGCAAACCAGAAAAACATGGACTTCGGAAAGAGACAGACTTGTTTCTGAATCTTAACCTTTTTCCTTTAACCAGCTGTGGGATTTGGATAAGTGACTGAACCTCATCAGAAGAATGGAGAGAACTCTTCACAGTAAAACTACAAGGCCTGGCACACAGCAAGGATTCAACAGCAGATGGGGTTGTTTGTATGTTTACAAATATTTTAGGCACAGAGAATGCATTTGCCTTACGGTACATGATGGGGCTGTGTAGAGGGACTGACTGTCTGGTACTGACTTGAACTCTTTAAAATTGGGGGACAAAAGCTGTGAGGTTAAAGTGCATCTTGAAAGGCAGGGAAGTCTTTGCTAAAATCAGATGAAAGTTTAGAGAGAGATTTTAGGCATCATTTCATCCAAATCCTACCCTCATTGAGAAAGTGGAGGTTCAGAGAGTCACACATGTACTCAAACCAGAGATTAAAGACAGAACTCCAAACTAGTCAGTCTGAGCTTACAATGCCCGTGGATTTCAAACTTACTAGAACATCACTCTTTGTTAAGTAGTAGCCAGGCTGGGTTTTAAAGCCTCCAGTGTAAATGAGCTGAGCCTAATTCAGGGAGTAACAATGCTATTCGTGTTTTTACCTCCTTTAAGTACAAGATCCCCTGGAACAGGTTTTAGCCCATACTCTTCTATTCTCTTGCTCACCATGTTATTCCACACGTAGCTTTGATAGCTATGAATATACATTAAGCGATTATTTCTTGGTATCTGGAGGGAAGGAAAAAAAACAGGCAAAGAAAAAAAAATCTGAATATAACAAGTACTGTACTTTCCAAGACATCTTACTTGTTTAGTGGCTGATTCATAGCAACCAACTTTAGAGATGAAAGTGCCCAGACTAAAGGGGATTCACAATCAGCAGCAGCTGCAGCAGTTCCAGTTTTGTATTCATGGTGCATACATTCAAGCAAATAGAGCCAATGCTATGGAATTTATACCCTATGTCAAAAGCATGGCCTTTTTTTTCTCAAGGAATTTACACATCAATTACAGAGCTACGGGTGTTTTCTCCCCCATAATTCTATCCTAACTGATTGAACTGACAACTAATTTCATGCAAGAAATCTTGTTTTTGCACAGCTGGGCAGAATAACTATAACTTAAGAATTAAATGTTAGCCTCTTCCAGATTATGGATATCCAAATATTAGAAGATCACACTTGCCAAGAATGATCTGGATACTCCCAAACCACCACAAAGACAATAGACTGAAACCCAACCATTTAGACCCCTTACTGGGCAAGCCTCTCCCTGAAACAGATTACTGATCGATCCTGAAGAATGATCAAGAAATGGTGGATTTTGAATTTGTCAAATACCAAGACACTTAATTTTATTTAAATTTCCCTGAGGATAACATTTTCCACACTACTGCTTTTTTTCATACCACCAATGTTAATAACTACGATCTATACGCCCACACCCACCGCCGTCCCCCATCACCATTCGGGGTCTGAACAAGGATCACTCAGGTAAATACACCTCTCAGAGATCACCAAAGGATCCTTATTTACCTTCTGCTCATTCAAAATTTAGTAAAATATCTAAAAATAAAAATGAAAAAGCATTAAACCACCTCTAGTCATTGCCTGACTTCACAAGTCGCACTCACTATGCCAAATGCAGAGACTATATTCTTCATTCCATATTTTGAAAGTCCTCGAAGCAGCTGCCCTTCCACACACCTTTTGACAGGTAGCTTTCTGAGGGCAGCAGCTGGGTCCTTGGTCTTCGCCCATTCTTCCCTGCATTTAACCAAGTACCCCTTTTCGGCTAGGGGGAAAAAAACTGTGATGAAACAATTTATCCAATAGAAAGATATACATAACTTAAATACTTCATAGAAAACACAAATTTAGAAAAGACTATTTGCAATATATGTACTATGGAGAGCTTCAGCTCACCTGAAAATAACCATTAGAAAGAGAAAAGATGACACACATAGAAAGTTTATGCAACATGTGATAGCCCCAGGACTCAAAGCCAATTACTGCTTGTGACCACAGCTGATTCAATAAGACAGAACTTTGGTAGTCTTTTCTTCTTTCTACTTCTATTGCATTATCAAATTTAAAATTTAATGGGCCATTTTCCTTAAAATCAGATAATGTTATCTCTTCTAATTTACTAATAAGTAATTACCCAGAGTAGCCTTAATTGTTTGGCTAATTTGTAAAGGAGTACATAAACCCTTTTTCATAAAGTATGATTTTGTAAATATTTTCTGAAAATTTAAAATAAGCTCTTTAAATATCTTCACTGTGTTTTTGCCATGTCTTTCCATTATATTGTGCTTTAACAAATTAACCATAAGTGAAATTTGCTGGGATTCTATTATGTTCAGAAATTCAGCAGATCTACACAGAAAGGAAGCACCTATTTGCGACTTCTTAAATTAGATGGACTAAGACCTGAAAACAGGATATGATACATTTCAAATATATATAGATAAACTTATAAAAAACAAAAGGAAATAAAATATTTTCTTTTACTATGAAATTTCTAAAAATTCTGAAATAATTACCCCAATTTGCAGTTTTTATTCAAAGCAATTCCATGAATACATAGTCATACATTTTATTTTTTTCTTCACATGAATTTTATTCTCACCTCCAGAACGGGGTTTCAATATTAAGTCCATGACTTCAGCCCAGGAATTTTGTAGTATTGCTCTAAAATTAAACAGCATTTATTTTACTTAATTGTGCACCATATGATACCTAAAATTTAAGGTGAATTTTATATGTTCAAATCTGTGGCATCAATAAATTATATTAACTTTACATGTTTTACTGTACTTTATTAAAGCAAGCATAAAAAATTAATGTGATGATAAAGTCTAAAAGCCAAAAGAACCTGTACAAAGATAAGAAAATTAAGAACATAATGCTTATCATAACATGCTACAGCAGTATCATAAGATGCTACAGCAGTATAAATACTACCTAGCATGCTTTAAGCTGTTACATATATTATTACCTACCTATAAAAATCAAAGGTAAGTCTTTATGTACCAAAATTTATTTGAAATGTCTCTAAATAGTTCTTCCTCTGTTAAATATTTCTTGCCTAGTTCTTGCTTAGTACACAGAATAAATACAACTTGGCCTTCTCTAGTCTTCTTGCTAAAATGGAAACAGCTTCTTTCTAATTATAAAAGTTATATATGCTTTTTTAAAAAATATTTTATTTTATATAATTTTTACAGTATTTTTCATCTGTGCACAATGTATGCATTTTCATTATGGTTATATTCCCCATAGAGTTGCATCCCCCCTTATTTTGACTCTAGTCCTCCCCTCCCCCCATCATAGTATGTTCTCTGGTTTATAGTTGCTTGTTGATTTTGATTTTTACTTTGTATTGATTAGTCTTTTTCCTGGTCTCTTATTTAAGTTTTCTAAATTCCTGCTATGAGTGAGACCATCCAGTATTTTTCTTTTTCTTTTTGACTTATTTTGCTGAGCATGATCCCTTTTAGCTCCATCCATGTTGCTGCAAACTGCAAGTGTTTATCTTTTTTGATTGCTGAGTAATATTCCATGGTGTATATGTACCACATCTTCTTGATCCAGTCACCTATTTTTGGGCATTTGGGTTGTTTCCATAGCTTAGCTATTGTAAATAGTGCTGCTATAAACATAGGGGTGCAGGTGCCCTTGGAATTAATGTTTCTGTGTCCTTGGGGTAAATACCTAGGAGTGGATTGCTGGATCATATGGAAGCTCTGTTTAGTAAGTCAAGAAATCTCCACATAGCTCTCCATAGAGGTTGGACCAGTTTGCACTCCCACCAACAGTGCAGGAGAGTTCCTTTTTCTCTACAACCTCGCCAACATTTGTTGTTGCTAGTTTTTTTAATATGTGCCATTCTCACTGGTGTAAGATGGTATCTCATGGTAGTTTTGATTTGCATTTCCCTGATTACAAGTGATGTTGAACATTTTTTCAAATGCCTGTTGGCCACATGCATTTCCTCTCTGGAGAAGTTTCTTTTTAGCTCTTCTGCCCATTTTTTTTTTTTTAAACTTTTTTTTTTTTATAGAGGCATGTTTTTATTTATTTATTTATTTGTTCGTTTGTTTCGTTTATACATGCATTGGGTACAGTCAGAAGCGCGGGAGGGTGAGAGAATTCACCAGAGCCAGAATGGGGAGCAGAGCAGGCAGAAGGACCGAAGTACACTGCTGAGGGGAGCAGCGGGCGGCAGTAGAGGTCTGCGCACCATGTGGGATCCTCCTCCGGTGGCCGGGGAGCAGCCGGGAATCTAACCGGCGCTGCAGAGGCTGCGGGCAGCTTCGCAACCCAGCGCTCAACCGCTGCGCCACCGGGGAGGCCCTCTTCTGCCCATTTTTTGACTGGATTATTTTCTTTGTTTTTGCTGAGTCTCATCAGCTCTTTGTAGTTTTTTCTGATCAGTCCTTTATCATTAGTGTTGTATGCAAAAATTTTCTCCCAGTCGGTGGGGTTTCTCTTTGTTTTGGTTATTGACTTCTTTTGCTGTGCAGAAGCTCTTTAATTTGATGTAGTCCCAGCTGTTGATCCTTGCCTTCACTATCACTGCTTTGGGTGATGTGTCTGTAAACATGTCTTTGAGGTGCATGTCATGTAGTGTTTCGCCTATATTTCCTTCTATGTGTTTTATGGTTTCAGGTCTTATGTCTAGTTCTTTAATCCATTTTGAGTTGGTTTTTGTGCATGGTGTGAAGTAGTAGTTAAGCTTCATTCTAAAAGTTATACATGCTTCTTACCTCTCCTGATTTGCCTGCTGCTCCCTCGGCAATGTACTTCAGTCTATTTGCCTGTTCTGTTCTCCACTCTGTATTAGGTGAATCCTCTCATTCCCCCACACCTCTGACCTGACCTGTATCCCAGTTCTTGTATGCATAAATAAATAAATCTTTAAAAAAAACCTAAACACTGTTAATACTACAGAATGCATTTTATCTTTTAAATATATCTGTAAGTATATGCAATTTTCCCCTCAACTTTTATAAATCTTTTGTCACACAGACATTATATTTTGTGTATCATACCTGGAAAATTTTCCCATTCTGATTTCTGGTCTTAGATGAACAGGCTTATTAGAAAGATGAACTAAGGTGTCTACCATGGATGTTTTTGTAATCTGGGCAGTTAATAAACAGTAACTGCTTTCAAATTGTGGGAGGAAAAAAGATTTCTGGTCTCGGATTCATGCTTAGAAAGGCCTGACCTATCATAAGAGTAAAGAAATCTCTTCAATTAGTTTCTCTGCTTTTCTAGTAATTAAGCATTTTTGTTTTTCACATTTAATCAAACGGGATATTCTTGTATTAAACTATATAGAATACTGTTTAGTATCTATGCATGTTATCATATGAATTTTATTATTTTTTAAAAAGATTTATTTATTTATTTACACAAGCACTGGATATAGTCAGAAGTGCTGGAGGGTGAGAGAATTCACCAGAGCCAGAGCGGGGAGCAGAACAGGCAGAAAGGACCAAGGTACACTGCTAAGGGGTGCAGCGGACGACAGGAGAGGTCTGCGCGCCATGTGGGACCCTCCTCCGGTGGCCGGGAGCAGCCGGGGATCGAACCGGCACTGCAAAAGCTGTGGGCAGCTTCGCAACCCAGCACTCAACCGCTGCGCCACTGGGGAGGCCCTATCATATGTATTTTAAATTTATTACTGCAATGAGTTACATTAATAGATTCCCTGTTTTTGGCCATCCTATAGTCTTGGAATAAGTCAAGTCTTCAAATGTACTCCTGGTGACACTTATTTAGCTGAAAAGTATGCAGCAACTCTTCCAAAAAGATTATTGTACTAACTCAGAACTAGGCATTGGTCTGCCAGTTATCACAGAAAAGCACTTCTATGCTCAAAAAACCTTTGCTATCTGGGTGGCCACTTGATTCTGTAAATAGCTTTATTGGGGGCCTCCCCGGTGGCGCAGCGGTTGAGCGCTGGGTTGCGAAGCTGCCCGCAGCCTCTGCAGCAGTTCGATCCCCGGCTGCTCCCCAGCCACCGGAGGAGGGTCCCGCATGGCGCGCAGACCTCTCCTGCCGCCCGCTGCTCCCCTCAGCAGTGTACTTCGGTCCTTCTGCCTGCTCTGCTCCCCGCTCTGGCTCTGGTGAATTCTCTCACCCTCCCACGCTTCTGACTGTACCCAGTGCATGTATAATAAATAAATAAAATAAATCTTTAAAAAAAAAAATAGCTTTATTGGAAAACAGCTATGTTCACTCATTTACACATTGTCTATGGCTGCTTGTACACTCTGCTTTTGTACAGCTGAGTGGCTGCAAATTTAGGTACTCCAAACCTAAAATATTTACTATCTGGCCCTTTTCAGAACAAGGGTCATTTGTTCATGTTCTTAGGAGATATGTTTATTCAGATCCTCTACCTATTTTCACATTGGGTTATCTGTATTTTCTTTCATTCATTCATTCATTCATTCATTCATTCATTTATGCAAACAAGAAGTGGGGTACAGACCACAGGTGGGGGGTGAGAAGATTCACCAGAGACAGAGTGGGGAACAGAACAAGCAGACTAACCGAAGTGCACTGTTGAGGGGAGCAGCGGGCAAGCAGGAGAGGTCTGCTGTGCCGTGTGGGTAACTGCCTGGCCCACCGGGGATTGAACTGGTGCTGCAGAGGCTGCGGATTGCATCACAGTGCGGTGCTTAACCCCTTATGCCACCAGGGAGGGCCCTCATTTTCATTAGCTATTTGTATTATCTTTGAAATGTAAAATTCAAAGGGTCCCCAGCTATTATTCTGCCAAACTGATTATAACTTCAAAGATTAATATGGCCTGCCCTTAAATATTCTGTCCCATAATATAATTTTACTTTTACTATCTTCAGTGAAGTCCTCTGACCATTGGCAAGACTGAAAATACTTTTTTCCTAGGCAACAATTTTTCCCTTTGGTTTGTATGCCGTAATTTAAAATGTTATTTTTCCATTTTTTGAGCCCTTAGTATATTCTAGGTGTAGAATAGGTTTGCATAAACATTTCACTTCATTTTAACCCCCTGTGTGGTGAGTATATCTCCTCCATCTTACAGACAAGTAACCTGAGGTTTAGAACTGAAGTCTAACTGCACTGCCTGAACCTTTAATCATTATAATGCTGCCCCAAAGAGTCAGGGGAAATAACACATGACAACTTTTATCATTTTGTAAAGCCTTTAAACACCCAAGCAGATGTAACTTCATGTAGTTGGTTGCAGAAACAAAGGACTACAAGCCAATCTATTACCAGGATTACAGCTGGCCAGCTAGAGAGCTGGGAAACCTCCCTAAGGCCCAATTTCATCTTCCCTAAAACAAAGGGTTTGAAACCGAAGAACAGGAACTAAATAATCTCTCGGATCACTTCCAATTTATAACTTCCACAATTCTAACTCCCAGGTGAATAATCACTTTATGCAACAATCTCCTCTGGACAGTTGGATAGCACAGGTAGGTCTAGGAACCCAAGCATTCAAAGCCAGGATTCCCATTCTTGTTTACATGAGAGGGATATCCTATTATCTAAAAGCAGAACACAGAGTTCTTAAAAATTTTTTACCTAACTACGTACCACATCATTTTTTTTTTAAAGATTTATTTATTTATGCATACAAGAACTGAGGTACAGGCCAGAAGTGTGGGGGTTGAGAGGATTCACCAGAGACAGAGTGGGGTATAGAATAGGCAGGTTGGGCCTCCCCGGTGGCACAGCGGTTGACCGCTGGGTTGCGAAGCTGCCTGCGGCCTCTTTGGCGCTGGTTCGATCCCCGGCTGCTCCCTGGCCACCGGAGGGTCCCACATGGCGCGCAGACCTCTCCTGCCGCCCGCTGCTCCCCTCAGCAGTGTATTTCGGTCCTTCTGCCTGCTCTGCTCCCCGCTCTGGCTCTGGTGAATTCTCTCACCCTCCCATGCTTCTGACTGTACCCGGTGCATGTATAAACGAAACAAATAAACAAATAAATAAATAGAATAGGCAGGTTGACTGAAATACACTGCTGAGGGGAGCAGCGGGTGAATGAGGAGAGGTCTGTTGCGCCAAGTAGGTTTCTCCCTGGCCGGGATCGAACTCATGATGCAGTGGCTGTGGATAGCTTCAAAGGTTGTGTCTTATCCCCTTGTGCCACAAGGGAGGCCCCACATCACTTTATTAAAGGGGGATAGGGGAATGGCCAATCAAAGTTTAATTAATTGGGAACCACTTGTTAACAGAGATCATAAAATTCATCATTTTATCTGGCTGCTCTGGGTCTAAATTTTTTTTTTTCAAAGATTTATTTATTTTTATACAAGAACTGGGGTACAGGCCAGATGCATGGGAGGGTGAGAGGATTCACCAGAGACAGAGTGGGGAACAGAACAGGCAGGCAGACGAAATACACTGCTGAGGGGAGCAGTGGGCGAGATAAGAGGTCTGCCGCGCCATGTAGGACCCTTGCCGGCTGGGATCAAACGGATGCTGCAGAGGCTGCGGACAGCTTCACAGTGTGGCGCTTGACCGCCTGTGCCACCAGGGGAGGCCCTCTGGGTCTAAATTTTTTTTTTAAGATTTGTTTATTTATTTTTATTTATACAATAGATGGGGTACAGGCCAGAGGTACGGGAGGGTGAGAGGATTCACCAGAGACAGAGCAGGGAGCAGAACAGGCAGACGACAGAAATACACTGTGAGGAGAGCAGTGGGTGCGACAGAAGAGGTCTGCCATGCTATGTGGGAATCTCCCTGGCCGCCGGGAATTGAACCCATGCTATAGAGGCTACGTGCAGCTTCACAGTGCTGCGCTCAACCTGTTGTGCCAACGGGGAGGCCCTCTGGGTCTAAATTATACAACTGTTTAAAGACTGAGCTAAGATATAACTATTAAAAAAAAAAAATTGAATCCCAAGATGAACTATAAGGTGGGAAAAAAATTTACTTTTCAGGATACAGCCTGTTGAACTGATTTAAAAAAAATTATTGTTATCATTATTAAAGATTTATTTTTATTTATTTATGCATATAAGAACTGGGGTGCAGGCCAGAGGTATGGGGTGAGATGATTCACCAGAGACAGAGTGGGGAACAGAACAGGTAGATTGACTGAAATACACTGCTGAGGGGAGCAGCGGGGGAGATAGTAGAGGTCTGCTGTGCCATGTGGGTTAGCTCCTTGGCTGGGGACTGAACTCATGCTGCAGTGGCTGTGGATAGCTTCATGATGCTGAGACTTAACCCCTTTAGCCACCAGGGATGCTTGCCTGTATTATCTTAAAACAAAAGGAGGTTGTGGATCACTCTATCATCTAGTAGATGAGACATAGTGGTTCATCTCGGTCATAAATAAGGAAATCTAGAATAATTACAAACAGTATCAGCAAAAATCCCTCCTTTTATCAAGTATGATAATTTCTAGACAAAATGAAGACAATACAAACCTTCCAACTTGATATGTAGGGACAGCTGTAGTTCCAAACCTTTGCATTCCATAGTAGTTGATAAATCCAATATCCTTGAGAGAGTTCATGGCTTGTTGCACTTGGTCATCAGTTCCTGTTATATTTCTGTAAGGAAGCAAATTATCCATAGAATAATCTTTACAGTCAGATACCTCAGGGATTCATGTTATAAACCATACAACTTGTTTTCCATGTCTTTCCCTTGAGTCCTGTGATTTTCTTTCCCTCCTGAGGACTCATCTTTTCAAGATCGTGGCAAAATAGACAATAACATTAAAATTACCCTTTTAGCCATTAAGAATGTGGTAAAGTGGTGGTAGGTATATACCCAAATGTGCGATCTTCACCACTACATTTCCAGAACTTTTTCTTCCCAAACTCAAACTCTACATCTATTAAAATGTTGTAACTCTCCATCTCCCCACTTTCGTAGGTTACCTCTATTCTACTTTCTGAGCCTGTATTAGGTCTTGCATAGTAGCAATTGTAGGATTTTTGTATTTTAGAGTAGTATTTGAAGGAGACAGTTTTTCTCTAAAGGAAATGTTGAGTTTTTAGAAGAGTGGAGGTGTCAGGTCAAATACTACTGAAGTTCTTGTTCTCCCTGCCCGATCAGGTCCCACTCTGCCATCATTAGTGCCACACCTGTTTGTTCACCTGCATTAACAACTATTAACAGACTCCAAGTGACTTAGCAAGATCCACTCCTGCCTGCATTCCTATTTGTTTTGTTTTTACCTGAGAACAACAGTGAAGTGATTCCCTTGAAGCTCTCCCAATTTCAGAGGGTTTTTCTGATAGCTGAAATTCCCAAGCTTGAAGTTCATCAAACATTTGTTCAAATGGGCAAGTCTCTGTGCAGTTATTCTAAAAAAAAAAATAAATAAATAAAATGAAGGAGCAGAGAGATGACCAGGAAATACTGCTGGGGTAAAATGGTCTAGGATACCTCACTACAGAAAAATGGGAGCTTGAAATATGGCTACACCAGGCTGTGAGGACAGTAAAGACAGACCCTGAAGTAGGTAGGTTGTGCATCCTTCCCACTTCCCTCCAGTTGTTCCTCCAGCATAACTGTACCTTTTCTCATTGGGATGATATAATCCAAGCCAGATGTATATTTTTAATTTTTTTTTTTTTTAAGATTTATCTACCTATGCATACAAGAGCTGGGGCACAGACCAGAGGTGTGGGGGTGGTGGTAAGAGGATTCACCAGAGACAGTGGGGAACAGAACAGGCAGATTGACTGAAATACACTGCTGAGGGGAGCAGCAGGCGAGCCAGGAGAGGTCTGCTTCGCCATGTGGGTTGCTCCCTGGCCAGCCGGGGATTGAACTCATGCTGCAGAGGGTGCAGACAGCCTCACAGGTTGCGTTTCAACCCCTTGCACCACCCGGGAGGCCCAATATATATTTTCAAAGGATATTTGTGTTATTTACATATCGATGAATAACCGAACAATGTTTGGAACTTTTGACTTCTCATGGGGTCATCAGGGTAAGAAAGGAGATAACAACAGGGGCCCTGGTGGTGCAGGGGTTAAAGTCTGAGCACTATCAAGCTATCGCCACCCACTGTGGCATAAGTTTGATCCCCTGCCAGCTAGCTGACCCACATGATGCAGCAGACCTCTCCTGTTTTACCGGCTGCTCCCCTCAGCAGTGTCTTTCAGTCAATCTGCCTGTTCTGTTCCCCACTCTGTCTCTGTGAATCCTCTCACTCCCCATACCTCTGGCCTGTACTCCAGTTCTTATATGCATAAATAAATCTTAAAAATAAGTAAATAAAAAGAACGAGTCAACATAACAGTTTCCTATATCCCCTGTTCTTTGCAATACATATTACTTGTTTCCACATTAAACTCAGTAAATGTTATTTTTATGAAGATCATACAGAGGGGAAAAAATGAGGAAATAAAAAAGAATAAGTCAAATTTTCATCTCTCAGAAAAATATTGCAACTCCTCACAGAAAACCTGGACAAATACAGAGGCATAAAGAAAAAGGAAAACCAACTCAGTTTCATCATCTGAAAAATCTGTTACCATCTAACTTAGAATTTCCTCCCTTTCTTTTTTTTTTTTAAGCAAATTTTCTTTCTTTTTTTTTTTTTAAAGATTTATTTACTTATTTATTTATTTATACAAGCACTGGGTACAGTCAGAAGCACGGGAGGGTGAGAGAATTCACCAGAGCCAGAGCGGGGAGCAGAGCAGGCAGAAGGACCAAAGTACACAGCTGAAGGGAGCAGCAGGCGGCAGGAGAGGTCTGCGCGCCATGTGGGACCCTCCTCTGGTGGCCGGGGAGCAGCCGGGGATTGAACCGGCGCTGCAGAGGCTGTGGGCAGCTTCGCAACCCAGCGCTCAACCGCTGCGCCACCGGGGAGGCCCCCATTCTTTTTAAAAACACATTAGATAAAGATCTAGAGAGAGCTAGAATCTTCACAAATCTGTATCCTGCTATCATTTAATATAAATATTTTCTATGGTATTATAAAACTTTAACTCCAAATTCTTTAACTTCATTAGGAAATATATGTAGAGAAACAAATACAGTACTAAAAAGCCTTTTTCTTGAGAAAAAATGTCATTGTGCCATTAATTAATATAAAATGTAGGAAGCCAGCCAGAGATATTGGGAAATGCGTGGAGTTTTTCCTCCACTAGCCCCCACCTCCAGTGTACCCTCCAACCCCAGGTCCAAACACAGTCCAGGTCAGAGTCCAAACAGGGGTGAAGCATATCTAGGTCAGCCCTGAACCAGCTGTTCAGAGAAAGCAGGTCCAGGAGAATAAGAGCACAAGGTCCTTGGCTTCCGAACACAGGGCATAAATTAACACAGGAGTTAATCCCAAAGAATTTAGAAAGCAAGAGGATCAGGATGAACTGAGCGAGGAACAGGAAGATAGAACCCCTTTGTGGTCATTAACTATGGCTATGGAAACTGACAGGATAATTAAGTCTAGAGGGGAAAAAAAGGAATCAGATATGTAACTTGGCTGCCCCAGAGAATAATTCCAGAGACTGTTCCTTATAGCCATGGACATGTCTGACAGTTCTATTCTTTTTTTCTTAAATTGAGATAAAATTAACACAAGATATGATTTATCATTTTAACCACTACAAAATGTACAATTCAGTGGTTTGTAGTATATTCACACTGTTGTCACCACTAATTCTAAAACACTCCCATCACCCCCAAAAGAAACCCTGTACCTACTAAGCAGTCACTCCTCATACCTCTCCTGCAGCCCTTGGCAACCACTAACCCATTTTCTATCTTCTATAGGTTTCCCTATTTTAGGCATTTCATATAGTCATATAATATGTCATCTTTTCAATTTGATTTTTTTTAACCCAGCATTACTCTTTTTTTTTAAGATTTATTTTTTATTTATACAATAGCTGAGGTACAGGCCAGAGGCGTGGGAGGGTGAGAGGATTCACCAGAGACAGAGTGGGGAACAGAACAGGGAGACGCACTGCTGAGGGGAAGAGCGGGCACGACAGGAGAGGTCTGCTGCGCCATGTGGGAATCTTCCTGGCTGGCTAGGAATAGAATCCGCGCTGCAGAGGCTGTGGATAGCTTCACAGCACTGCGCTCAACCTGCTGTGCCACCAGGAGGCCCTCAGCATTATGTTTTTAAGATTCATCCATGTTGCAGTATGTACCAGCATTTCATTCTTTTTTTTTATAGCTGGATAATATTGTATTATCTATTTTTGAACATACAACATATACAAGTTGAGGGCCTCCCTGGTGGCACAAGGGGTTAAGACATAACCTATGAAGCTGTCCGCAGCCTCTGCAGCGCGAGCTTGATCTCCGGCCGGCCAGGGAGCAACCCATATGGTGCAGCAGACCTCTCCTGACTTGCCTCTGTTCCCCTCAAGCAGTATACTTCGGTCAGTCTGCCTGTTCTGTTCCCTGCTCTGTCTCTGGTGAATCCTCTCACCTCCTCATACCCCTGGCCTGTACCCCAGCTCTTGTATATATAAATAAATAAATCTTAAAAAAAAAAAAAAAACAAAAACAACATATACAAGTTGAATTTTACTGGCACATCAAAAATCAAGAGTTACACTCTGATTTTAGTTGAGGGTGGGGGGTTTCTCTCTGAGAATGAATGGAATGGAGTTGATGGTATCTTTATCAAACTGGTCATGTTTTAATTCTGATGATCATGGATCAAGCACTCTGGTAGTTTATCCACAGCTAAGTCTTGAGTAACTTGGGAATACCCAAATCTTACCTTTTTGTTTTTTGTTTTTTAAGATTTATTTATTTATACAAGAACTGGGGTATAGTCGGAGGCATGGGAGGGTGAGAGGATTCACCAGAGACAGAGTGGGGAACAGAAAAGGCAGACAGACCAAAAACATTGCTGAGGGGAGCAGTGGGCGAGACAGGAGAGGTCTGCCGCACCATGTGTGTATCTCCCTGGCCAGTTGGGGATAGAACCAGTGCTGCAGAGGCTGTGGACAGCTTCACAGCGCTGTGCTCAACCCTCTGCGCCACCGGGGACCCCCCAAATCTTACTTTTCAACATTAGGAGCTAACTTAACCATGATGTTGTACGACAAAGCCAGGGAAATACTGACCTGGCTCAGAAAGGAGACTAGCAGGAAGAGGCAGGAAAAGAAACAAATCATTCTAAATGTTCTCACTTGAGATCCTGTTAAAATTACTAGGTGGATCTGTAGAGTTAAAAGAAATGCTGCTTATTGCAATGATTGATCAATTCAGCAATAATTAAAGTCCTTGTGTGGCAGAGTGGGTTTATCCTGTTCACCAGTTCTCATGGGAAAGGACAATTTGCCCGGCCCCACGTCCATTTAGCAAAAGAAGGGTGTAGCCTGCATCCGCCAAATAAGTGTATGTGCTTTCACAGGGCCAACACTAAGTGGCTAATGTAGTTTCTTACTAGTGTAACAGGAAGATGGAAAAGGCAGCAAAAGTTTATGACGACAGAGCAGCATCATGATCAAGTATGACACCTGGTGGCTGACCAAGAACAAACAGAAATATCTTCACTCTTAGAATGTTCCAAGATTTAACAACATATAATGCAAAATAAAGTAACAAGAAGCCACTTGAGGTCTGAGCCCTCATGCCACTGGTGCTCCCTTTTCTCCCTGGAGTTTCTGGCCAGTCCACAAGCCCATTACCCACTAAGGCTATCTAAATCTTCACATGCTTTTCAAGTCTCTTTCCCCATTCCTGCCTTTTCACTCTCCAAAGATAACTCCACATTCCACATGTCACTGGGAAGCAAAGAGAACAGGCCCCCTGGGAGGGGCACTCCCCATCATGTGCTTCCTTCTCCTCCCTCTCAAACGCATCAACATTTGCACTCACTGCTACTGAAGTCATAGAGAGATGTTTTTACTCTGCTTTCACCACTAACACCAGGACACTTGCCCCAAGGTCGAGAAAGAAAAACCTGGAAAACCTATTAGGATGCAACCAGGAGCTCAACCTCAACATTATTTCAAGTGAGTAAGAAAAAGTGGTAGGAAAGAAGCTGGATTTAGGGGATTGTCTGGTAAAGAGGAGATAGCACCTCAAAATCTTTATGAAAAGTTATATAGTAAAAAGTAAATATATGTATTTAAGTGTCAATAATAGATGACTTTATTTTAAATGGTAGTATACTAACATATATTATAATATGTGCAACTATAATGTTGTGTTTTAACACAAAATGTTGGGGTTTAACATGTAACCGTGAGACAATCACCACATTCAATATAATGACCATATATATCTCCCCTCAAAGTTTCCTCTAGCCTCTTCATTTCTTCCCTCCCATCATCATTTTTTTTTAAAGATTTATTTATTTATACAAGAACCGGGGTACAGGCCAGATGCGTGGGAGGGTGAGAGGATCCACCAGAGACAGAGCAGAGAACAGAACAGCCAGACTGATGAAATACACTACTGAGGTGAGCAGCGGGCAAGACAGGGGAGGTCTGCTTCGTCATGTGGGATTCTCGCCAGCAGGCCGGGATCGAACCCGCACTGCAGAGGCTGCAGACAGCTTCACAATGCAGCGCCCAATCGCCTGCGCCACCAGGGAGGCCCCATCATCACTTTTTACCTCAAGCAGTACACTAAGAAGATAATCTGAGCTTTTCTGACACCACATAGGTATTGAAGTCATCATCCTTTCCTTTTTACCTTCATTGTGACTGATTGGGTTCAGACCCAATTCTCCCTCCCCAGAATATGACAACAGCCCTCATCTTCAGTTCCATCCATCTTGCCCTACCCACAACTCCTAAACCTGCTTCGATACACACAATCCCTTGCTTAGATTACAGTCAAGTCCAAGATCCTCAACATGACCTATAGGGGACTTCAGGACTTGGTTCCTATCTAACCTTATTTTTGCTATTCTCCCATGAAGCTGAAGTACCTGCCAGCTATCAAATGTGCTAGGCTACTCAATTCCCTCCAATGTCTTTTTCACAAGCTCTTTTCTTGCTTTGGAGAAAGGAAATTAGACTCTCTCCAGCCTCAGGAAATACCTACTCATCCTTCTAGAATATAAGGGGCAATTTTGCTCCCAGTGGACACTTGGCAATATCCAAATACATTTTTTTGTTGTCACACTGGCGGTGAGGGTGGGAATACTGACATGTGGTAGGCAAGACCAGGGCTGTTGTTAAATGTGCCGCAATGTATGGACAGTCCCCGCAAGAAAGAATTATCCAACCCAAAAAGTTAATTGTGAAGAGGCTAAGCAATCTGGGTCCAGATTAAAACTCCAGAACCCTATTTTCTGTGAAAGCCTTTCCAGGCTTTCCCCCCCAAAGTTCCATGCTTTGTTAAGTCTACCCTCACCCCGAATATATCTCTATTTTAGCATTTATCTCACTTATATGATAAGTTCTAATTTATTTTCCTATATGATCCTATAAGCAATTAAATTATAACTGCTTCAAAAGCAGAGACCTTATCAATTTCCAGTGTAAAACAAAAGAGCTTATTCACTGTTTTGTAAGTAAATTTTAAATAACATTTAAAAATGAATGAAGAGAGGGCCTCCCCGGTGGCGCAGCGGTTGAGCGCTGGGTTGCGAAGCTGCCTGCAGCCTCTGCGGCGCCGGTTCTATCCGCTGCTGCTCTCCGGCCACCGGAGGAGGGTCCCACATGGCGCACAGACCTCTCCTGCTGCCTGCTGCTCCCCTCAGCAGTGTACTTCGGTCCTTCTGCCTGCTCTGCTCCCCGCTCTGACTCTGGTGAATTCTCTCACCCTCCCGTGCTTCTGACTGTACCCAGTGCTTGTATGTATGTATGTATTAAAAAAAAAAAAAGAATGATGAGAGAGAAAGGAACACTTCTTCTCTTGCTCTACCATTAAAAATCTTAATACACTAATGTATTAGGAAATACAGATAAGCAGAAGGAAAAAACAGAAAAATAATTTTTTGACTAGGAGAGGCAAATTTGCCACAAGGCAAATTTGAGAACTCTGAGGGATTACTGGGTTTCTGCAATTTGAATCCTAGTATGCACTCTCTACTTACTTGAGAACAGCAATCTCTTGAACAGTTATGGCCCTTTTGTCTTTGGTTCCCATGTAGGAGAATATGTTTGGCTTGACTCTGGTAAGACAAACAGAAAACCATCTGAAGTCACATTCCATTAGGAAATCATCTTTCTCATAATTTAACACTCAAAATAAATAGACTTAAATCACAATCAAATAAGAGACTAAGGAGAATCTTTACAATATAATACAAGGGAATAACACACTCTTTTTGAGCATATGTAATTCCTTAACTTATATTGTTGTGAGGGTAAAGAAAAATGCATTTTAGAGATGTAACTTTGACATTTTTGTTTAATTTTTTAGAAGTTGGTAATGTGATTTTTTTTCTTGGTGTATTTCTATAAAAAAGCTAAAGCTAAGACAAGGATCAAAATGGCTTTGATAGGAACATATAAATAAGCTAATTAACTGATTTATTTTATGAAAAACCACTCAACGTGAATGAAGGGAAAAACCAGGAAGGATTTCTCGAACTCTGAGCAATCTCTGCCATATCTCAGAGGAACTCCCTCCAATTGTCCATCCTGCTGTCAGGAATGATCTGTTCTCCTGGGCTCCAGGTATACACAGGGCACCACTGACTGTTTCCTAGAGAGCCAGTAATTAAGGGAAAATAAATTGTTTGTACTTAAATAAATTGTAGTACTTAATGGAGTATTATGTCCAATGAACCAAATTTTAATCCCTTAAAATTCATACATTAAAGCCCTGATGTCTCACTCCCAGTACCTCAGGAAGGACTATTTGGAGACAGAGCCTTTAAAGGGATAAGTTAAAATGAGACCATTAGGGTGGGCCCTAATCCAATGTGACTGGTGTCCTTGTAAGAAAGGAAATTTGTACAGAGACTCCAAGGGTAAACATGTACAAGGACACATCATGGGAGGACAAAAAGAGAAGGTGACTACCTGCTAACCAAAGAGAATCCTCAGAAAAAACTCAATCTATCAATACCCCGATCTTGAAACTTTCAGCTTCTGGAACTGTGAGGATTTACATTCATGTTGTTTAATGAATGAAACATTGTTAACGGCAGCCATAGCAAACGAATACACTGTGGACCACCTTTTGAGTTAAGCATGTATTAGAGAACAAATTTGCACTGCAAACATGTTTGCTATGTAACCATTTCTAAAAAAAAATCTTTGATACCTGGGTCAACCTCAGAGACCCCATCTCTGCTTTATTTGCATTCCCATGATAAAATCTGACTGATCCCAGGTTTTCAATATGGTTAATCTCGAGAAATAAAGAGCTTCCAATTTAGTTAAACAAATCACTGTAAACCCATCAAAGTTTAGGTTTTCAGGGAGGAAAGCTCATTTTTATTTCCAGCTGAATGGACAGGTAACTCTCAACTATAGGTAAACTATTAACTTACCGAAGTTTTATCTTGAATCATGGGCAATAGGCAACAAAGTTAAAAAAAATTAATTCACCTATAGTTTACAAGAAGACAGTCAGGGGGCACATGTGCCATCAGTATGTCCACTGTCCCACTCTTTTTTATTAGAATGGAAAGAGAAATAAATTTCTGTGTTTTGATTCTGTATAGCTACAAGAACAAGATACTAACCTTAAATATTTGGACAGGACATTAATTGCATCCATGGTGTCTTTATTTTCTTTGTACAGTATAAAGTGGCAGTAACTTCCCCTAGATTTTGGCCAAGAATGTTTTCTTGGATCTTAAAAACAACAACAGAAATTGAACATTATATATACCATAATAAAAGTTGAGTTTTTTCTCATGAAACTCTACGAGTTCATTTTTTGCTAGAGAATCTTTTGTTGAGAAATCAGATCTAATCTGACAGGAAATCCAGGTTAGTAAGTGGTTATAGCCATGTGGACTACAGGTATTTCACTTTTTGTGATTAAACATTTAACATTATCTGTCCATATTTAAAATTCTAAGCTGAAATGCAGGTCGTGAGACAAATGACTAAAACTGACCAGTCATCTTCACAGAGAAGAGAGAGGGGTCTGCCATTCCTCAGAGGCAGTACTCTACAAGCAGGTGTCTGGCAGGTGAGCTGGTTCTCTACGTAGTCCAGAGGGAAGCATCACGCTGGAATGCCTCACATCTCAATCAGGTGTTCACACATACAGGCTGGATGCCTTTGCAGGGATGGGGAGAAAGCTTGTGAGGAGTTGCCTCAGTGACACATTTGGATTATCCAAAGGCCACTCCCATCACTGAGGTTGAACTCATACCAGATGGCTTACAAAAGTCCACCTGACAGAGAGTGGACTGCAAATGGCAGTCAAACCTGATTGTCACTCTTGGAAAAAAAGGAAACTTAAAAAATGAAGCTAGATTAAATGTTAACTTTTGCACTATTGTTGCTTTCATTGTTTAACTTTGTGAAGACTGACAAACATTTCATAACCTTGGAGAGCCTGACTTTTAAATTATCCTTTAAAAAGAACATTTTAATTATACTATAATCTAGAAATATATATTTAAATAATATTAAGATTTAGATTTTAGCAGCCTGAAGGGTGTTTTGAAAAATCAGCACTTCAGGGGAGAAATATAAGCCACAAACTGCATTTCCCAGAAATCATACAATAATATTCATGAGTCTTGTGTGACACACAGTTGAAGTTGTCATTTGAATAGCACATCTACTTCACTTTATTTCTGTAACTCCATAAATGAAAAACTGAAAAAACAGTTTACACGATCCCTTGAAAAGTCATCTTCTAAAAAATGTTCCTTTGTCTTTCTCCATGAAATAATCCTTTAATATGAAATTAGAAATCCTTTATCTTCAGAGGCTTAAGAAATTCCCAATACTGGATTTACTTGGACATCTGGCTTTGAAAAAGCAAAAAGCACTGCTTTAACAGATTTGTGATTTAAACTACAGTGTAAACAACAAAAGAAACATTAAACCACCTCGGAAAACTGCCACAGCATGTATACAGCGAATTGCTTTTCCTCTCCAATAAATACGAATGAGTCTTCAGTCACAGACAGAAAAGTTTTACAAGTATTTCTCTGGCTCTTGGTGTGAATTCCTTACCACTCATCCTCAGTAAATTTTGAAGAGGAATATCATATTTGGTGATATTCCAGCTCACTACAGTTAAGAAAATTTGTCTACACTCAACACTTGGGACAAAACCATTGGCATTTCATTTTATCTACATGAAACGCCAACCGCTCTTACCTGCTGCAGTTCTGACCTCTGTCCAAATGCACAGCATAAAGAGCACAAGAGAGCAATGTTTAATTGATAATAATATTAAAATGCTTTAGAGGTGAACATGCAAATGATCGCATGGAAAGTTTCCACTGAGGACTTCTACAGCACCTGGTAGTTATGTGGTGGGTTAACAGCCATTTAGACATTAACAATGGAATGTTGCAGAGGCAAACAGTGAACAACAAGTAGAAAACTCACCTATAGGTACAAGCCTCCCTATCGCAATCCCTTCACTACTGCATGTCAGCTCACCCTCAGTGCTGTAGACTGCACCCCAGCAATGTAACAAAAGCTTTAAGACTAGATTCGGAATACTTTCCCATGAAGAGATTTTATGTCTAAATATGGGAGAACATGTACCGAAATGCTATTTGTAACTATCCTTTGGTGTTAAGACTGCAAGTAAATATTGTTTTGCTTTGTGCTTTTCTGTTTTATGTTTTTCCTGAGCTAAATTAGTTTTTTATTTTAACGATGAATATGGAAAACAGTTTTCTAAATTATAGACTAAAAGAGATTTAAGAGACTTAATCATCAAATGCAATATTCTGACCTTGTTTGGATTGTTATCTGAATATGTCATCTCATTGAGGCAATCAAGGAAAAAGTTAACATGAACTGGGGATTAGATATTAAGAAATTATTACTGATTTTGTTGGGTGTGATAATGATTCTGGGGCTTCAATCCCTCTCTGTTAAATACATACCAAAGTATTAATGAGTGAAATAAAGTACTAGGTAGAATTTTCTTTAAAACACTTCAACAGGAAAAAAAAAGGACTAGATCAATAAAAACAATAAAACAGTGATAATTTTGAAGATAGCTGATGGGTACACAGGGGTTTAATAAACTACTTAATTTTGTGTGCATATTTGAAAATGTCCATAAAAGTTAAAAAATACTTGTGATAAAAATTGATGAAATGTAGCTACATTTTTCCTTAACTGCCTATCAGCACATTCACAGTTAACTATAATGACAAGAAATAAATAAAGCCACAAAACTGAAAAACTGAATGCTATTTTACTTTAAGAGAAACCATGACAACTGAGTATGAGTTTTGGCTTACAAAGCATGCATCTTTTATTAGCAATTCCAAGCACTGAGCATGCATACAATTATCTTCTCTGCAAATAACTCATATAAGCGTTTTTACCTAAGTATGCTCAGTATATAAAAAGGTATATGCATTGATTAACCAGGAATATTTTGAGTAACAGAAAAATCAATGAGTCGACTTATTTTGAGCAAATTGTTTGACTTTATAAAACCCCAACTCCTAAGAATGTTAAGTAGCATATACTTAGCTCTGAAATTTAAGTGAATTTAAAATAACTTTCAGACACTTTTGAAACACTCTGATTTAAAATGTGAATGCAAAGAATTTTCTCAGGCTGGGGTACTGGGGAGCAACCTTCTCAGGGTCTGATATGGCAACTGCAGTCTTTCAGAAATGGAAAACAGATCAAAGGGAAAAACCATGTTCAGAAGATTCACATGTGAGCAGAGCTCTCCTGAATAAGGAAGGAAAAATGTACATGGCTTGAGAAAGATGACAGGATGGGGGAGCATGCAGAACATTCTTTCCTTCTTATTCCAGGCGTTTTTACTGCAGCCCTGCACACACCAACCTTTTAGCTTCCTCAGGGATCCTGCTCCAACCATATCACTCTCCTGCTGGAATTTCCATCCTTCCTCTCCACACCTCTTTCCCTTCCTTGCATCAGTATGCTCAGGGAGGGTTCTTCCATCTCCAAAGTCAAGCCAATGTCTCCTTCTCCTTAACCATGTTCCCTCCTTTCTCCTTCTCTTTATAACTTATTTGACAAAGTAGTCTGTACTTACAGCCTTCCATCTCACCTTATCACATAACCCTTTCCAATCTTATTCCACAAATGCTGCATTGGAAAAGACACTAACGATTTTCATGTCACTAAATTGACAGACATGTTTCAGAGTTCTTATCTTGCTGGACCTATCTTCAAAAATTCCCATGGCTAGCCACTTGGATTACTGGACTTCCTTCCTCCTGTGGATTCCATAACACCAGTTTTTCTAAGTTTCCCTTTTATCTGTCTGGTTCTTCCTTCAGAATCTCTGTGAATTCCTAGATCCAGGTGTCCTTTCTGGGAATTATTCATTTCAGAAAGTATAGAGAACCACTAATATCACAAGACAGAAATCTTTTTTTCTTAAGTCTTTACAAAGTAAGTTCTTAGAATAATTTGGAATGCATACTATCTCAAAATGTAAATTAATTTACCTGATTACATACTTAATAATAATTACATGGTACTTTCAGAAAAATGCCATATGTACACTTTGGTAAGTCAACCAACACACCCTGTTAAATAAGTATTCAATTTTAACGTGTATGTGTGCGTTTGCCCATACTACCAGTCAATCCTCTGGAAGGCAGCTGTGTGTCCTACAAGTCAGCTCAATTCTGACACTATCACCTGAAAAGAGCATCAGATCCCACTGATCAAGGATTCAGTCCTACAACATCAAAGTCACATCCCACTTTAGATACCACTCCTAAGTCTAGACTGTTACCTGAACTTCTTACCAATTAATTGGCCAGAGTGGCTCACAGAACTCAGAGAAACATTTTACTCATAGGATTATCAGCTTATTATAAAAGGATGTAATTCATGAGCTGCTGGATGGAAGACATGGATAGGGGATGGTAAGGAAAAGGCCATATTACTTCTGTGCCCTCTCCAACCTAGTCACTTTCCCCAAATCTCCATGTGTTCACCACCTGGAAGTGCTCTAAACTCTGTGATTTTTAACAAAAGACACCTTTATCCCTCTCCTCACCTAGGAAATCCCAAGGGTTTTACAAGCTCTGTGCTAAAACCAGGGATGAAGACTAAATATATAAATATTTCTTACATAAATCACAATACCACGCAAAATAACCACTGAGTTAAAACAGCTGGTAAATTGTGGTGTCTGGGCACTATGACTTTGAATCTATCATGCCTATGTTTTAGGATGCACGGCTCTTTTTGAGAAAAGATTAGGTAAGAAATATTGCACAACTGCTAGGTAGTGCATAACCTACTAATAACAATTTATTTGTATCAGGGTTTCATAGTAAAGGTACTCCAAAAACTTGATCAACTTAATTTTGAAAGGAAAAAATTTTTTTTCTCAATGAAGTTTTAGAAGTTAATTCATCAAGTGCCAGGCAAGATAGTCCATATTCGGGTCTACTTGCAGGGCCATAAACAAAAGTCTCTGGACACCAATTCTCCCTACTTTTCCAACAGCATTTAGCTACTCTCAGCTGGCAGAGGTAAAGCTAGAGCTGTGAAAAAGGAATGCAGGTTCTTAAATGTCTGTCTGGGTCTGTAGAGTGGTAGGAGGGACAACTTGGAAGGCAGACATTGAGTTCATCACTGACAAGATGCCACAATACCTCAAACCCAAGAGGCTTACATGCCCATCCAGCATCAACCCAGTCTGATCTGCCTTTTAAATTGGGGAGCTTGTATTTTATTAAAGATGTGCCATGGGAGATAGGGAGGGGTGGTTCATGTGGCACAGAGGTCAGCAACTCACTTGGAAAATCTTTTTTTTTTTCCTTAAAGATTTATTTTTGGGGGCCTCCCTGGTGGCGCAGCGGTTGAAAGCTGGGTTGCGAAGCTGCCCGTGGCCTCTGCAGTGCCTGTTCAATCCCCGGCTGCTCCCCCGCCACCGGAGGAGGGTCCTGCATGGCGCATAGACCTCTCCTGCCGCCTGCTGCTCCCCTCAGCAGTGTACTTCGGTCCTTCTGCCTGCTCTGCTCCCTGCTCTGGCTCTGGTGAATTCTCTCACCCTCCCGCGCTTCTGACTGTACCCAGTGCTTGTATAAATCAATCAATCAATCAATCATGTATAAATAAATAAATAAATCTCTAAAAAAAAGGATTTATTTTTGGGCCTCCCCTGTGGCGCAGGAGGTTGAATGCTGGGCTGCAAAGCTGCCCGCAGCCTCTGCGGCGCCGGTTCAATCCCCAGCTGCCGGTGAGGGTCCCACATGGTGCATAGACCTCTCCTGCCACGCCCGCTTCTCCCCTCAGCAGTGTATTTCGTCCGTCTATCTGTTCTGTTCCCCTCTCTGGCTCTGGTGAATTCTCTCACCCTCCCGCGCTTCTGACTGTACCCAGTGCTTGTATAAATAAATAAATAAATCATTAAAAAAAAAAAAAGAAAAATATTTATTTTTATTTATTTATGCATCTAAGAACTGGTGTATAGGTCAGAGGTGTGTAAGGGGTGAGAGGATTCTCCAGAGACAGAGTGGGGAGCAGAACAGGCAGATCTACTGAAATACACTGCTGAGGGGAGCAGTGGGTAAGAGAGGAGAAGCCTGCAATGCCATGTGGGTTAGCTCCCTGGCCAGGGACTGAATTCATGCTGCAGTGGCTGGTGATAACTTGATAGCACTGAGAATTTCACCCCTGTACTACCAGGGAGGCCCTCACTTGGAAAATTGTTTTTTAAGATTTATTTATGAATACAAGAGCTGGGGCACAGGCCAGAGCCGTGGGGGATGTGTGTGAGAGAGGATTCACCAGAGACAGAGTAGGGAACAGAATAGGCAGACTGACTGAAACACATTGGTGAGGGGAGCAGCAGGAGAGTCAGGAAAGGTCTGCTGCGCCATGTAGGTCACCTCCCTGGCTGGGGAGCAAACTCATGCTGCAGTGGCTGCGGACAGCTTCACAGCACTGCGTCTTAACCCCCTGCACCACCAGGGAGGCTCCTCACTTGGAAAATCTTTTTTTTTTTTTCCTTCAAGATTCATTTATTTATTTATACAAGAACTGGGGTACAGGCCAGATGTGTGGGAGGGTGAGAGGTTCACCAGAGACAGAGTAGGGAACAGAACAGGCAGACTGAAATACACTGCTGAGGGGAGCAGCGGGCGAGACAGGAGAGGTCTGCCGCTCCATGTGCGGGATTGAACAGGTGCTACAGAGGCTGCGGACAGCTTCACAGAGCAGCGCTCAACCGCCTGCGCCACCAGGGGAGGCCCTCACTTGGAAAATCTTAAGGAAATTTTTCACTTGGGGAAAAATGAAAGGTGGGTGGGGTGTAAGCACAGCAAATATAAGAACAGGAAGCTCTGGCACCACTCACTTAAAAAAGTGACATCCTCACCTGGGCCTGCAAATGCCCTCACTCCCATTCCTACAGATCACAAAACCTCACATGCTCTAAGAAATAACCATCACTTCTAAGAAGCACCAACTGAAACAATACAGATTTTGCCTTTTCCAATTTGCTAACTCATGACAATGCTAAGGAGAACAAGACTTGCCTTTTCTTCTTGCCTTCAGAGCTGGCTTGCCTCTCTACAAGGTACTTCTCCTGAGCATCCCTCTGAAACCCGAGTCCTGTAGAGAGCTAAGGCTGAATGAACCAGGGCACCTGTCATGCGTTGTAAGTCACCCTCTCTCCTCTACATATCAGATGCTTACTAGTTATATATCAGCCTTGGGAGAATAGAAAAATAAAATCATTCACCTCATACTCAACCTGAATTAAGCTGACTGCTAAGGTAATGTTTTCTGCTGTGACCCAGACATAAAGAAACAAGTAACCAAGACATCTGTCTGTGGATTGAGACATGGTCAAGAACTTGTGCCCTCAAGCAGTTCCAGAACAAGTGGTCTACTTTTCTTTTTGGTATCCATGGAGAAGTGGCCTCCCGTCACCACCTTCTCCTTCCTGACTGCTCAAGATTTCTCATTTATCGCTATCCAGACTTACTGATTTCACCTGATTATTTTCTCAAGCACAGCAAAACATTACTTCTGCTCCTATTTTTCGTATACCCTCTCTTTCCACTAGAACCATAGCTATAAACATTTAAATCTTCATTCACTCACAACATTAACCTAAAAGAATAGTGACAGCCTTACTGTTGTGACGACTCCTTTGTTATTTAATCTTGGGAGTTTTGTTCTAACAAATACATCTAGAAATAAACTGTTCCCTAACAGGAACCATCACTGGTAAGGAAGGAAGACAAAGAAATAGCTTTCTCCTATTCTAATTTTCATTAAAATCTTATCTGCTGATTTGACAGGTATAGAAGAAAGAGCCCCTATTTTTTTCTTTAAGGTTCATGCAAATGGGAATTTCCATGACCATAGGAAAATATAGTAGAACACACACATCCATTTGATTCACTGCGAACACATCCATTTCAAATGAATGATATGCAACAAAAGATAGATTTGGGCAAAGAAAGGAATGTTATACTATATATTCCATGTTTTTAATGTGTGAATGAAGAAGACAGGGGTGGAAAGCAGCAACTCTTTCAATACATGAGCTTTGCAGAAAAAAAATGAGAGGTGACTTTTTTTTTTTAACTGAAAGTTTTCTTTCCTTCATTAAGAACACGGGATAAGCAACATCCGTCCATATTCTTGAAGTGCCACTCAGTTTGTTCTGCTCTCCAGAGTGGATGCTCTCCCAGGCACCATTGTGGTTTCAGCACACCTTTACTCACACAAAGTACCAAATACCCCGGCCAAAGTGTGCAGGATTGCTCTGGCATCTGAAATAACATTACTTAGCTGCTCGGAAGACTCGATGTCCTTTCCTGAACAACGGTATAGCAGCCCTTGAGCATGAGCGGGCGAGGAGAATGAGAAGCAGGGTCTGTCTCTCACGGTTGCCTGAGAGAAGAAATGCTGGGTCACTCACACACTTACTTGCCAAAGCCTTTTTTCCAGCTGCATGGTAGGCTACAATGTATTTCTTCCCTTCTCTATCTTCTGTTTTTGTCTCTAATCCCGGAAATAGAGATTTAATAGCTTGATGGATGACAGTTCTTTTCTCTTTGGTGTCCTCAACAACCTATTAAAAACAGAGATTGTAATCCCACTAATTTAGTAACATTAAAAAGGGACGTGGTCTTACTAATATATTATTAAAAATATAACTCATGTGAAATGACAAAAGTACATGGATATAATTTTAGAAACCTTTTAGAGCTTCACAATATCGCAAATCTTAATCAGTTTATTGAACATGCCCATCTGCCAGGTATACTGTACAAACACTTCACACTGATCATATCATTTAATCCCCGTCATCTCCATGTCATGCCACCATTGTTATACATTTATCTATCTATCTATTTATTTTTAAGATTTATTTATTTATGCATACAAGAGCTGGGGCACAGGCCAGAGATGCAGGGGTGGGGTGAGAGGATTCACCAGAGACAGAGCGGGGAACAGAACAGGCAGATTGACTGAAATACACTGCTGAGGGGAACAGCGGGCGAGACAGGAGAGGTCTGCCTCGCCATGTGGGTTTCTCCCTGGCTGGCTGAGGATTGAACTCGTGCTGCAGAGGCTGTAGATTGCTTCATAGTGCAGTGCTTAACTGCTTGCACCACCAGGGAGGCCCCACTGTTATCTATTTAGAGAGGAGGAAAATCAAACAGGGAAATTAAGGAATGTGTCTTAGGTTATATAGCTAGAATGTGGAAGGCCAGATGTGAGATCCAGGTACTGACCCTGGAGCCACCCAACACAGACTCCAATCTTAGAGGCTCTGCTCCCTTTCGGGGATCCCACTAGACAAAGAGCTCAGAGTGCAGAGATGAAAATAAAATGGAGCTGAGCCTTTTGATGTGACAAAGCACAACTTCCTCAAATAGCCCAAACTACAACTGCCTCATAACGAACTCTATTCTATACTGAATTATCTTAAAATGCTGTTCTAGCACATCTGTTGATAAAAAGGAGAAAAAATAAAATCAAGAAATTGTAAATGCACCAGTTACACGTCTCCCCTTGCCCCCATTCAAAAGCAACATAGTCTTACTTGGTAGGATTTGGTAGGGGTTTTTTTTTGGGCCTGGGAATACTTGAAATTTTCTATTTTTCTATATAAATTACATAGATTTTAATCATACCAGACGAGCATGTAGCTTTATTGCCGCTTTCAGCCAAAATATTAATCATACCAAACCAGCGTGTAGCTGAATTATATAAATTTTCCTATATAAATTACTGATAATAGTGTTGCATGACCTAAAAATAACCTACCAAATCATACCAAATAGGAATATTCTACTTTGGGATAGCAGGGAAACCTGTACATGACTATTTTTCAATCTTTGAGTGCATTTCACATCTCAATTCAGCAATTACAAATATGTCTGTATGCCTTACTAAAAATCAGAAAAAATTTACAAAGCAGTACTTGCTCTCATCATGCACAATTGATGAGAACTGAAAAACACCAAGAACTACTATAACGACTCCTAGCAAAGTTTAACAGTATCTTAGCAAAACCAAAAATGTAAAAGAAAACAAACAACATTATCATTATAGACAAGTAAACTTCTCAAATCAAAATGAATCTAGATCTGGAATTTGCTGAGCACAGTGAGTTGGAATCACAGCTGTGTATATGAGAATATATATTCAAACCTCAAAGATTCAGAAAGTTTGTCCTCATATTACAGGACAGAAAACTTGTCAACCGTTTATGCCTTCTAAAGGTAAAATCTTTCAGTAAATGGCAAAGTATGGCTAGTCAGATAACAGTAAGACTTGCCATCTGTGTAGGAAAATGCGTTTTATGAGTTAAGGTGCACCACTGAACTGCATGAAACAGGAAAAACTGGATCGTGCTGCCGTGGACAGGACAGCCAATGAAGTTCTCTGCCATTAATGAAGATTCAGAGTCTAAATGAATTTGCAGTGGGGGGAGGCTGGGGAGAGTGCCATTGAGAACAGCTCTGCCTTTCACTCTCCCATCCCAAGCTTTTATTGAAGATATGAACAAAGGAACAAGAAAATAGCATGCAATTGTGTTTTTGCTTATACAGATTAATACGTTACTGCTGAAAACAAGTTTTCCTGGTTAGTAGGGAACATACACAGAAGCCAGTACATCCTCAGAGAAGAGGAGTCAATTCTGGGAAGAAGTTCTGTTTGCCATATAGGGCAGAGCAGAAGTTCTGCAAACTTCTAATGTCCTAGAACTCCATATGCAGAGTAAACAGATATTCTCCAAAAACTCCAGCTCCCTTTAGGTCAGCAGGCGCCCAACACCATGCTCCTGGACTGCTCTCAGAAACAATTCTTATGGATTGTCTCCTTGGCATTGCTTAAGATTTTGTCTATGGGTAAGTTCAGTAAATGTAGATTCTTTAAGTCATAACATCACATACTTTCAGGCAGTTTTGGTGAGGAGGAAGACGAGATGAAGACTGCAGGCAGATAACGAATTGTGAAAAGTTATACAGAACTCTTAAGAACTGGAAGTGATGGAAGGAGGCATTTCAGAGAATTCAGAATCCAGGACTTTGTTAAAATAAAAGGAATTTAACACGAAACTCCAAAAGTCTTTTGCTAGAAGATTCTTAAAATCCTGTAATGGGGCCTCCCCGGTGGCGCAGCGGTTGAGCGCTGGGTTGCGAAGCTGCCCGCGCCCTCTGCGACGCAGGTTCGATCCCCGGCTGCTCCCCGGCCACCAGAGGAGGGTCCCACATGGCGCGCAGACCTCTCCTGCCGCCCGCTGCTCCCCTCAGCAGTGTCCTTCGGTCCTTCTGCCTGCTCTGCTCCCCGCTCTGCCTCTGGTGAATTCTCTCACCCTCCCGCACTTCTGACTGTACCCAGTGCATGTATAAACAAACAAACAAACAAATAAAAAAAAAAAAATCCTGTAATGCATTTGTGCTGCTATAGATATTACCTATAGCTGCTCTGCCCTATATGGCAGTCACCAGCCATAGGTGGCAACCAGGCAGTTGAAACATGACTAGTCTGAACTGAGATGTACTGTAAATGCAAAATAACACAGAAATCTGAAGACTTGATAGGGAAAAAAGGATGTATACCATTAATAATTTTTAAGATACTGATTTCTGTACTTATGTGATAATTTGTATTAGGGTAAATTAAATGTATTGTTAAAATTAATTTCATCTATTTCTTTTTACATTTACATTCTTAGAAGATTTAAAATTTTTTAAAGACATGGCTCACATTATAACTCCACTGAATAGCACAAATCCAAAAGAATACAGTTTTCATGAGAAAAAGCTTCAGAAGAAGGCTTTTACTACTGTACTTACTAGCTAAGCAAGCCCTTTCTAAAGCAGTAGGTACAGGTTGAGTGAAATAACAATTCCTCCCCTGCCCGACCCCATTTGAGACCAAGAGGCTGGTCAGGCTGTGGAGGCCTTTTTATAGTAGACACAATGTAATATAATGGTCACTCTGTTGTTCAAAATAAAGAGATTCTGGGGCCTCCCCGGTGGCGCAGCGGTAGAGCGCTGGGTTGCGAAGCTGCCCGCAGCCTCTGCGGCGCCGGTTCGATTCCCGGCTGCTCCCCGGCCACCGGAGGAGGGTCCCACATGGTGCGCAGACCTCTCCTGCCACCCGCTGCTCCCCTCAGCAGTGTACTTCGGTCCTTCTGCCTGCTCTGCTCCCCGCTCTGGTTCTGGTGATTTCTCACCCTCGCGCTTCTGACTGTACCCAGTGCATGTATAAACAAAAAACAAATGAACAAACAAATAAATAAAATAAAAAAAAAAAAAAAAAAAAAAAAAAAAAACAAAATAAAGAGATTCTTGGGTTGATTTGTGGGCAAATAAACTTAAAACCAGAATTTTCTTTTGGCCAGAGTTTATCTGGACACTGATTATTTGCCAATGATAAAAAACACTTGTTAGTGTAATGCCTGTTTAGATCAAATAGGGCAAAGCCAATGTTTTGTAATTTACCCAACAGACTATTAACAGCCACCTAAAAAGAAGCAATCAAAATCCTAAACAACCTTTTCATATATTTTTGGACTATTTACCTCAATGGCAACACTGGTTTCCTTATTTTTAAAAAGCTGGAGCTCTTCTAAACGCTGTTTTTCTTCAGCTGTCAAAACTGTAAATACATCTTCTGAAGGATCCTTTAAAATAACCGTAAGAACCCACAGTGAGTCAAATTCAGAGTTCAGGCTGTTAAAGCTCTATATTACTATGACTTCTAGGAAATGTTATTTTTATACAGAAGGTGACTTTGGCTGGAGAGCTGCTCCTACCTCGTCATCCACAGGGACAGACAAGTCATCCAAGTGGCTGATCTGTCCATCTTTTCCTATTTCATGAACAACGAAGTCAGAGTATCTGGTTAAAAAAAAAAAACAAAAACAAAAACAAAAACTTTTAGGCCATTGACATTTTGTTTCCTATTAATTTCAGGAGAATGTAGTCCGTACTACTGCACAAACAAGGGAAAAAAAAAAAAAAACTTTCAGTACAAAGTCATGTAAAGTTTTTTCAGGTTTCTCAATGAATACTGAGCCACAACTTGAGTCAAGTTTTATAGCAGAATGTAAAGAGAAGATCCTCTGAGCTTCTAGGATATTCTTCCACAGAAATGCTTAAATAGAAGCTTAATACTATCCTATGATTCTACATACTGGTGAATCATAGAATACAGTAAGTGGCTAATTAAATGATAACTCAGTAAATCTACATTGACCATCCTAAAGCTTACCTTTAAGCTAAATACTATACACACATTGTTTAAAATCTAGGTGGTATTATTATGACCCATTGTTTGGATGAGAATACTAAGGTTCAGAACAGTTAATTCACTCTGAAGTGGTTGAGCCAGATTCACACCCAGATCCATCTTAGTACTGTAGATGTGGTACATTCAGGAGAAAGACTTGATAACTTTAAGACAAATTCCAGAGAAAACCTAAAGCTATTTATAATAATTTTAGAGGGCCTCCATGGTGGCACAGGGGTTAAAGTCTCAGCGTTATCAAGCTACCCCCAGCCACTGTGACATGAGTTTGATCCCCGACCCAGGGAGGTGACCCACATGGCACAGCAAACCTCTCCTGACTCGCCCACTGCTCCCCTCCGCAGTGTATTTCAGTCAGTCCCCCTGTTCTACTCCCTATTCTTTATCTGGTGAATTCTCTCACTCCCTGCACCTCTGGCCTACACCCCCATTCTTGTCTGCAAAAATAAATGAATCTTAAAAAAAAAAAAAAAAATCTTAGAAAAATGCAGCACCATTCACATATTAACAATGCATGCAGGAAATTATTTTTATTTTCTCATTTTATGTTTTTTTTTTTTTTATTATTATTTTTTTTAAATAGAGGCATGTTTTATTTATTTGTTTGTTTGTTTTGTTTATACATGCACTGGGTACAGTCAGAAGCGCGGGAGGGTGAGAGAATTCACCAGAGCCAGAGCGGGGAGCAGAGCAGGCAGAAGGACCGAAGGACACTGCTGAGGGGAGCAGCGGGCGGCAGGAGAGGTCTGCGCGCCATGTGGGACCCTCCTCTGGTGGCCGGGGAGCAGCCGGGGATCGAACCGGCGCCGCAGAGGCCACGGGCAGCATCGCAACCCAGCGCTCAACCACTGCGCCACCGGGGAGGCCCTCATTTTATGTTTAAATGGTTTCATTTAGGCAGCTCTCCTTTACCTCTATTCCTTTGTTTTTTTTTTTTTTTTTTTTTTACATTTATTTATTTATGCATACAAGAACCAGGGTACAGGCCAGATGTGCGGGGGTGAGAGGATTCACCAGAGACAGAGTGGGGAGCAGAACAGGCAGATCTACTGAAATACACTGCTGAGGGGAGCAGCGGGCGAGTCAGGAGAGTCTGCTGCGCCATGTGGGTAGCTCCCTGACTGGGGATTGAACTCATGCTGCAATGGCTGTGGATAGCTTCATAGGTTGTGTCTTAACCCCTTGTGCTACCAGGGAGGCCCTACCTCTATTTCTTTTTGACTATCAATGTACAGAAACCGTGGGGACACAAACCTAAATGGAAGAATATACTGCTGATATCTTTTTTTTTTTTTTTTTTTAATGTTTCTTTCTTTACGCTCAATGGCTAGGGATTGAACTCATGTTGCAGTGTCTGGCAATAGCTTGATAGCACTGTTAACCCCTGCACCACCAGCGAGGCCCCAACTTTTTTTAACAGAAAAGGCAAATTTATTGAAATACACTGCTAAAGGGGAGCAGCGGGAAAGACAGGAGAGTTCTGCAGTGCCTATATTTCTGATCCTTCTAAAGAAAGTAACTAATATAATGAAAATTACTTCACACATAAACAAAACATTACCTTTCTTTTAAGATTCCTGAGAATCCTTGATGAGAACTTACAAACTTTGTGATGCCCACATCAAGCTCGGTAAGTCCATGCTTCATCATATCAGCAAAACTTTCAACTTCCTCCTCCTCTTCACCTTCCTCGGAAAGGCCATCTTCCTCCTCTTCTTCCAACTGAGCATCAGAATTCTTCTGACCCTCTCCTGCACTTATAGCTTCAGGTGCCCCGGGTACCTTGTCACTTCTGGGTAGAGAGTCATTCTCTCGCCAGTCTTGACCTGCGGTCAGGCAGCATTCAGAGACCTTCTGTCTTTTTGCCTCCTCAGCTGAGGCCACACTGTCATTATCTTCCACAGCCAGGGACCCACGTTTCAGAGACACGCCAGTCGTTTCTGTCATCTCCATTTTTAAGACTCCAAGAAAACATTTAAGAAAACCTTCAGGAAGGAAGGAAGCATAGGAAGTAATGATCAGCTCTATTCGGGGGAGGGGGAGGCACAATACTTCTATATGGAATTTGACAACATTTACATGTGGATCAAAAACTTTGAAAATAGGGCCTCTGTGGTGGCACAAGGGGATAAGCACTGCACTATGAAGAATCCACAGCCTCTGCAGCACAAGTTCGATCCCAGGCCGGCCAGAGAGAAACCCACACGGCACAGCACACCTCTGCTGCTGCTCCCCTCAGTAGTGTATTTCAGTCATTCTGCCTGTTCTGTTTCCCACTCTGTCTCTGGTGGATCCTCTCACCTCCCGCATCTCTGCCCTGTACCCCAGCTCTTGTATGCATAAATAAATAAATCTTTAAAAATAAAAAAAACCTTGAAAACACATGTATTCTTTTTTTTAAAATATTTTTACAAAAGATTTATTTATGCATATAAGAACTGGAGTATATAGTCCAGAGGTGCGGTGTGTGCTGCAGAGGCTGCAGATTGCTTTACAGTGCGGTGTTTAACCCCTTGTGCTACCAGGGAGGCCCTGAAATTTTATCTTAAAAGGTTAGCAATGCTAGGGGCCTTGGTGGCACAGGGGTTAAAGACAATGCTATCAAGCTGTCACCAGCCACTGTAGCATGAGTTAGATGCCCGGCTGGCCAGGTAGCAACCCACATGGCACAGCAGACCTCTCCTGTGTCGCCCGCTGCTCCCCTCGGCAGTGTATTTCAGTCAGTCTGCCTGCTCTGCTCCCCAATCTCTCCGGTGAATCCTCTCTCACCCCCCATGCCTCTGGCTTACACCTCAGTTCTTGTATGCATAAATAAATAAATATTTAAAAAAAAAAAAAAGGTTAGCAATGCTTTCCTTATACCAAAACCATACCCATTCAATCCTGCTCCTGGTTGACATCTTTCCCCAGCAGGACATCACTTGCAGGTTCTCACCCTTGAAACTCTCCTATTCCTTGCTTTTCCCCCCTCAGATCTCTATTACAGATCTGTATCAACCCTTACTAGTAAACAGCAGTTTGTATGGTATGACTTGGATCCAGATCTAGCTTCTGCCATGTACTAAGTAGGTAACTTAAGCCAGTTTCTCCCTCTGTAAAACTGAAAAACAATGATATGGCTAAGAATCTGAAGTAGCTGCTCCTATTAAACTGTTGGCCATTAATATTTATTATAGATGGTTTACACAAAGCCCTGTACTGCTCAGAATGGGGAAGTTAAAAAAACAAAAACATACAAAGCTTCTTATGCTTCTTTTGTTCTCTGAGTTAAAGATTAAACATGATTTTCTCCTCTAGAGACCATTTAATTTTTAAGAGACCCTCAGAGCACTGCCAACAGTACCAAATAAATAGTCCTTTCTCAAAATAGTCTCTTGATAATCTTTTTCCTAATACTTGTGGATACTTCCCTAATGGCTTTTTCTTAACATATTTCATTGCAAAGACATGCTCACTAATCTCACTTTTGTGCTTCAAATGAAATTAACTTTTCATTTGTTTTAGCTGACGGTCCTATAACACACATTACTTATTCAAGTATACACAGAACCAGTGATTAAAAATCACTTAATATCTATTTTTCCAAGTACTGTGGGTCTAGAAGCTGAGAACATAGTTACTAGAACAATTGTGCTAGACTAGGAGAGGCAGAAGTCAAACTAATATCATATTCATAAGCAAGAACTACACACAAGAGAAGACTGAAAAGCACTATCATGATCAAATGAATGACAGAGAGAGCAATGATCCTGGGAACATGGAAGAGAGCATAAGGAACTCAATCAGAAAGATGAAAATAACCCTGCCTGCCCCTATGTGACAGGACTAAGGAAATCAGTTATGCACTCAGGAAAATCCAAATATACATAATCAAGAATTCTAAATGCTCAAAGACGTAAAAAGTGACTGGCTTTAAAAGAAAAGAGGAGGGGGTGAGGAGACCAGTTTTGAGGGTTTTTAGAAATGGTATTAAACATTTTTTAAAAAGAAATGCTGCACTGGGCCTCCCTGGTGGCTCAAGGGGTTAAGCACTGCAAGAAGAAGCAATCCTCAGCCTCTGCAGCACCAATTCGATCCGCAGCTGGCCAGGGAGCAACCCACATGGTGCAGCAGACCTCTTCTGTCTCACCTGCTGCTCCCCTCAGCACTGTACGTCAGTCAATCTGCCTGTTCTGTTCCCCACTCTGTGGTAAATCCTCTAACCCCTCGCATCTCTGGCCTGTACCCCAGCTCTTGTATGCATAAATAAATAAATCTTGAAAAAACAAAAAAAAAAAAAAGAAATGCTGCACAAATACACTATCCATGATAGCCTCAAATTTCAAATCTCTATAGATCAGAAGGCTTGAGTCTATAACCAGGAAGAGAATGAAATCTGATAATACTTTCCCATGAACTTGGAAGTCCGACACAATTCTTGGGAAGGAATACTAAAGTAATTGCTTTTGTTTTCTTTACATTCCAAAAGAGCCAAGTCAGATGAGCAATTCAGAACTTTAACAGTATTTTAAAATATTTTTCATTAAGGTACTAGATTCACCAATAAGTTTCCTTTACACCCACAACAAAAATAGTTTAGCATTTTCAAAATTTTCATACAACACTGTCTTTTTTTTTTTTTTGTTATATGGCTTCTATTTTTGTTGTTTTTTTTTAAAGATTTATTTTATTTATTTATACATACATGAACTGGGATGTAGGAAAGAGGTGGGGAGGGGTGAGAGGATTCACCAGAGACAGTGGGGAGCAGAACAGGGGAATCTACCAAAATACACTGCTGAGGGAGCAGCTGGCTAGACAGGAGAGGTTGCTGTCCCATGTGAGTTAGCTGCCTGGCCAGAGATAGAACTCATGTTGCAATGGCTGGCCATAGCTTCACAGAGCTGAGACTTTAACCCCTGCACCACCAGAGAGGCCCAATACTAATAGTCTTTGACATTATTTCTCCCAACACGAACATCTCAAAGAGCCATCAGTCTTAAGCCTGTATTTCAAAACCCCTCACAACTTCCACTTTTTTATTTATTTATTTTTTTAATAATAAATTTTATTTTTATATTCCCCCATACAATTGCAAAAGCCCCATTCTGACCCCAATCCTTCCCTTCCCGCCCCCCACCCAACTTCCACTTTTTTAATTGCATACATCCTCCATACTCTGCAGCCTGTGAATAACCTCTCTAGCTCTCGCGATAAAGAAACTTTCTTCAGGGTAAAGCACATACTACATTTTAATATGTAAAACTGTTCAGTCTGTTAGATTCCTTCATTCCACAAATACTTATTGCACACCTCTTGTGCGTGCCACTGTTCTAGGGTCCAGGGGAAAAAGGATAATTCCCTGCCCTCACTCAGCTTACTATTGTATTTGAGGCTATACCAGAGTATTAAAAAAAAAAAAAAATCTCAGAACATGGAAGTTTAACAGCTACAAACAGAGCAGAGTAAGGGGATTCAGAGTAAAAAGGATGCTCTTCGGTGAAACCTCTCTAAGGAGGTGGCTTTTGGGCCATGACTGGAAGGAAACTTGGTCACCCAGTTAGAGTGTTGTTTCTCCTACTTTGGGGGCAATTCAATAAATACAGATTATTGGCTACTTCCCTGGTGACTGTACAAAATGGCTACCTATTCGTCCACTCTTCAGTATGTTTACAATTTGATTTTTTAAAGATTTATTTATTTATGCATAAAGAACGGGGTACAGTCCAGAGGGTGTGTGGGGGGGGGGGGTGAGAGGATTCACCAGAGACAGATGGGGAACAGAACAGGCAGACTGACTGAAATACACTGCTGAGGGGAGCAGCAGGCGAGTCTGGAAAGGTCTGCTTGCGCCATGTGTGTATCTCTCTGGCCGGGGATCAAACTCGTGCTGCAGTGGCTGTTTCTTAACCCCTTGTGCCACCAGGGAGGCCCGCTAATTTGATTTTTGATAGATCCCTCAATGGTCAAAGCATCTCGAGGCCGATGGGGTATACTTGTAAAACAGATGACCACACACTTCAAGCAAAAGTCCTTAGTAATCCTTTATTTTCGGAAAATAGTGGTCTGACAACAGAACTAAATATTTGAAAAACTAAACTCTCCAAACCCTACTTCTTGGCCCAGGCAATGAGGATGTACTTTTAAACCGCTCGGTGCAGGGCTATCCGCTTGAGCACGCACAGAAGCGCCTCTTCCATCCACTCATTCAGCAGGAGCGGGACAGCAGGTTGGAGAAAACACTCGGTACCCACCCCGTTCGCGCCTACTCGGGGAAATGTATCCCCAGGAAGCAACCACCTGAGTGCCTCCTTGGCACGTAGTAAGTTCGCAGCTGGGGGGTGATGGAGGGATACGAGGACGAAGGCACGGGGGCGGGACCCTGGGGGAGTACGGGGGCTGGAAGGGGCTTCAGGATAAAGGCCCATCTCGTCCTTCCGGGAGGAAGAGTTTAGGGCGCATCTGGGGCCAAGAAAGGGAATCCTCCGCTGACAGCGCCGCGGGAGGAGGGAGGCCCTGGACGACCCGCCCCGGGAGCCGGAGCTGGGGGCGGGGCCGGCACCCCCGGAGCTCCAGACCCGCCGGGCCGAGCCGCGTTTCTGCGGGCACGTCCCATTATGGAGGCGCCCCGGGCGCGCCGCAGGTTCAGCTCGCGGCGGGGCCGCCTTCCCAGCGCGCACCGCCGCTCCCGGCCGGGCCTTGGGGCCGGGGGGCGGGCCGGGCCGAGGGGGCCGCGGAGCCTGGCGGCTGCGGGGAGGCCGCGCACTTACCCGGAGCCTGGGGGCGCGGGCGCGGCACGGGCCGAACGGCGAGGAGGCGGGCGCGCGGCTGCGGGCGCGGCGGGTCGGCGTCAGCGAGCGCCACTCGGAGGAGCCGGAGGCGAGGGCGGCCCAGCATAGGCAGCGCCGGGGCTCGCGAGGCCCGGGGCGCTCGGGCGCACTAGCCGACTGCGGGGCTCGCACACGTGCGGCGCCGCGACGCGCCGCGGCCGGCACCTCCCCCGGGCGGGGCCGGCGCCTCCGCGCCGGCCCCGCCCCCGCCGCCTGCCAGGCCCCGCCCCCGCCGCCTGCCAGGCCCCGCCCCGCCGCCTGCCAGGCCCCGGGCCCCGGGAGCCGGAGGCCGGGATCGCACGCCGCGGCCGGGTCTGGGGGCACTTGGCCGCCGGCCGCCGGCGCCGACATCCCGAGGGCCACGCCTGCTCTGCGGTGGGAGCGTACAGTGGCTTCTCGGCCCTGGGCGTGCCGCCGTCGCACCTGGGCGTCAGCGATCAGCGAAGAGTTATTTTATCATGTACCAGAGGGAGTTTTGTTGTTTTTTTTAAAGTTAATTTATTTATGCATACAAGAGTGGGGTACAGGCCAGAGATGCTGGGGTGAGAGGATTCACCAGAGACAGAGCAGGGGGCAGAACAGGCAGACTGAGTGAAATACACTGCTGAGGGGAGGAACGGGCGAGTCAGGAGAGGTCTGCCTCCCCATGTGGGTTGCTCCCTGGCCTGCGGGGATCAAACTCGTGCTGCAGAGGCAGGCCCAGGGCTTTTGAGTTTTTTGGACTGTTAGGGCAACGACTGCTTATTAATGTTTCTTTCACATAGTTGTCTTTTTTTGTTGCCCTCCACCAAGGAGTTAATTTAAGGAAAAGAGAATCACTTTAGGGGCTATATTGTTCAATATGTAATTCCTTCCAATGCAGTAAATCCAAGAACACCATTTTCCCACTTGGATTTACTCCTGCTTGATGGCTCCCCAATTAAATTTACTTCAAGTGGATTCTAAGTTTGTGATTCTAAGTTTGTGTAAAAAAAAAAAAAAAGTAAAATTAACTACCCTTCCTAAGCTCGTACTCATTTCCCAACTAAATTCCAGTCTCTGGTAGCTTTTGCACATTTGATGTTTTGCGGAACTTCAATTCTGAGTGGAAAACGACATTCAAGTTCTTATATTGGTCAACTGACAGTATAACCCATATAAATAAAAAACTTACCATTTAACCCTCTGTAAGTGTGCAGTTCAGTGACATCAGTATATTCACATTGCTGTGCAAGCATCACCACCCATCTCCAGAATTCCTTTCATCTTAAACTCTGTACCCAATAAATAATAATTACCCTTTACCCCCTCCTAGGCCCTGGCAAGCATCATTCTACTTTTTGATTCTATGAATTTTACAATTCTAGTTAATTCATACAAATGGACTCACACACTATACATTCTTTTGTGACTGGCTCATTTCACTTAGCGTAATGTCCTTAAGCTTCATCCGTGTTGTAGCTTGTTCCCATCCCTTTCATGGCTAAATCATATGCTATTATATGAACATACCATATTTTGTGTACCCATTATTATTTGGATTACTTCCATCTTTTGGCTATTGTGAATATCTATGAACATGGATGTACAAACATCTCTTTGAAAACTTGCTTTCAATTCTTTTCAGTATATACTTGGAAGTGGAATTAATGTAACATATGGTAATTCTTTAAAAAAAATTTGAACAACTCTTATATTGTTTGGTGCCAGCTGTAGACATGTTTTTTAAAATCTGGGTTTACACATGGGTATCTAGCTAAGTGCAGATAATTCATTCACCTGGTAACTTTCTATACTGCCTTCTGACATTATTCACCTTAAGTGCCTTGAATAGTTTTTGGTCCCCAATAAATGTACAATCCCATGTGGGGATTATGGTTAATTCACTGGTTAATGCCCTAATGACAGCAATTGCAAATATTTTTTTTACCACCATTAGGCTGTAAAAATTCAATCCAAAACTCTTAAATTTTATATCCTTTATGTAACAACTTTTCTGAGAGTGTGTCCTAATTCATCATAAATGTGTAGGGAGGAAAAAACATTCACATTTCTTTGGCCATTAGCTTGTTCCATAGGCAATATATATATATATATATATTTTTTTTCTCCTCAACAAACTGTTTCTGGGGCCTCCCTGGTGGTGCAAGGGGTTAAGCTCGCACTGAAAAGCTATCCATAGCCTCTGCAGCAAGAGTGCCATCCCCCCAGGCCAGGAGCTACCACCATGGCACAGCAGACCTCTCCTGACTCACCTGCTGCTCCCCTCAGCAATATATATCAGTCAGTCTGCCTGTTCTGTTCCCCACTCTGTCATTGGTGAATCCTCTCACCCCCTGCACCTCTAGCCTGTCCCCCAGTTCTTGTATGCATAAATAAATAATTTTTTTAAACTGTTTCCTCTAAGGGTTACTTACCAGTCCCCTGTTTTTCCTTTTTGTTTAGCCTCCGTGGTGCCATCTGCCATATTTGTTTTGGAAGTTGAAAATCCTCAGGTCCTTGGGCCTCCCCGGTGGCGCAGCGGTTGAGCGCTGGGTTGCGAAGCTGCCTGCGGCCTCTGTGGCGCCGGTTCGATCCCCGGCTGCTCCCGGCCACCGGAGGAGGATCCCACATGGCGCGCAGACCTCTCCTGCCGCCCGCTGCTCCCCTCAGCAGTGTCCTTCGGTCCTTCTGCCTGCTCTGCTCCCCGCTCTGGCTCTGGTGAATTCTCTCACCCTCCCGCGCTTCTGACTGTACCCAGTGCATGTATAAACAAAACAAACAAACAAATAAAATAAATAAATAAAGCATGCCTCTATTAAAAAAAAAAAAAAAAAAAAAAAAAAAAAGAAAATCCTCAGGTCCTTTTGCTGGCTGGTCCTTTTCCTCCCTGGCAAAGAAGATTTTTTGGCTCTTTGCACAGGCATAAAAGTGGGTATTAGATGTTGAGTCTTTTTCCTCCATTCAGTTCCCGGAATGTTTACAACCAGATTGGAGGATCATGTCTGGAAAGTTTGGTCAGTCGTAAAAGAAATATCCCATGATAATGGCACTGGAAATTCCTCCAACTGAAAAGTCCAACCAATTACCACAGCGTCTAGTCAAGAAGCTCTCTCCCATGCTCTCAGAGCATCTGGAAAACCATCTTAAATATAAGTTGACATGTTCCACAGTGAATTTGTGGCTAGAAGGAGGGATACCTTCAAACTCCACCACTACAACCCCAAAGAGGTGGAGGTTTCACCGCCCCTCAGAAGGACCACCCTCTTTCTCTCAAGAGCCTGGGGGCGGGGGGGGCCGGCGCTCCGCCTCCTGCGTGGGGGACTCGGCCCCGGGCCGGCAGGGGGAGCCACCGCGCCCGGCCGGGGCCTGCGCGCGCGGCCTCCCTGGGACGAGAGGAAGGAACCAGAGAGACGGAGACCGGAAGTCGCGGTGGCTCTCAGCAACACGGACTCCCAGGCTGAGTTGGTGTGTGTCGTCGCTGGCGGGATCCGACTGCACCTGCCACGCTGGCAGCGCATGGAGCCGCGGACGCGATCGGAGGCGGGATGCCCTCGGCCGACGAGATCGGCGAAGCTCCGGCCTCCGCGGTGAGGCCCCCCTGACAGCCCGGGCAGGGGACGCTTGGCCCCGTGAGGTGGCACAGATCCCCCAGGGGAAATTGTTTCGGTGGGGTGGCTTTGGGGACGTGGGTTCCGCGGCCCGCGGGAGATGGCCTTGGCAATCCGGGGAGATGGCACAGACCTCCCAGGGAGGTGGTCCCAGTGATGTGGCTCTGGCCACCCCGGTGAGAGGACACAGATCTCTCCGTGGAGGTGGCCCATTTTGGAGCCTTCATCAGATCGCCTTGGCCTTTTAGGAAGGTTCCATGGGAAGGGGTCTGGGACCTCTAGATCCTCGGGTACATGTTCTCTGGGATCCCTGTATGAATGCCACCTATCCTTCAATCCTAACGTGTTGATCACATTGCTCTCTCTTTAGTGCTGCTCTGAAAGTGGCGATGAAAGGAAGAATGTGGAGGAGAAAAGTAAGCTGACTCCAACTACCCTAGCACTTTTACCCGGCTATCTCTCCAAAACTCAGCCTTCCAGGGTCTGCATCCAAGAAGGGCCTTAGCAGTTATCTTTTAGATGAAGTATGGGTTTTTTTCTGTGTACAGTATGCTTGCATAGTATTAAATGCTAATGGTCACTACATACACGTTTCTGTCTATAAAACTGTAGAATATGATATGCTTGGATGTTATTTTAATGAACCATCAGGATTTTGGAGGAACTAGTGATGTAGGAGAGATTACGGTCACCTTAATTGGGTTCAAAGGAATTAAATGATATTTAGTCATATACCTTCAGTGAATTTGCAATTAAAAGTTCACCTAGGAAGAGCACAACAGATACTTTGTTTCCTGGATCTTGGACTGGGCAAGAAAGAGGGAAAAGGTTAATACCTCCTCTTCCTACTTAGGACACTTCCTCCACTACCTACTTACTTCCAGGGATCTGGACATTTGTTATTTTACTTGAATGAACTAAACATGGCAGGCTTTGGCTATCAAGGAATGTTCAGGGGTTTCTGAAGTGAAATTTACCGAGGAGAAAAGAAACACCTTTTTTTGGGGGGGGGGGGGAACCCTCCTGGTGGATATCGGTTTTTTGATCATGGCAAACAATCTGGGAATGAGTAGTGGTAAGAGAATTAGTACCTATGTTATCATATTGGCTTGAGGAGTTAGGTTTGCCCTTAACATGGCTTCCTATACAGCCTGCCTCAGAAAAAAAGTTCTAAGTAGTCCACAGCACTTGACAGTTGTAGCTATCACAACTCAGTTCCTTTTCCTTAAAGGATTTAAAAGTACCCCATATCTCTCAGGTAAGCCCTTCCTTTTTCCACCTTTGTCCCATGCTTGGGCAGTTGACGCCTACCAGGCCATCACTTTAGCAAAATGATAGACACAGATTATAGACTTTGGCCTTGTCCCTCCTTTGGTGGCTCAGTCAACTTCTTAGTGACTAGGAGTGCATGCTCTTTACAGAAAAACAGAGAGACATGAAAATTCCAAAATCATTATTGTGTCATTTTAAAGAATGTCATTTGACTAAGATCATATTCTGCATTTAAATGGTTATATCAAAAGAATTTAATAAAAAATGAAGATAGAATTTATTCCCTGAGCAACCTTAGCATACACTAGACATCCCCTTTACATATAGCCTTGCCTCTGCTATTACACCCATATAACTCACATCTTATTTAAGATAAACTGAAAAGAAGACATTGTGATTCCCATACAGAATAGTAGCTGGATTTTTGTATTAATAAAGGCTGATGCAGGGGCCTCCCCTGGTGGCGCAGTGGTTGAGCACTGAGCTGCGAAGCTTTCCTCAGCTTCTGCAGCGCTGGTTGGATCCTCGGCCGCCGGTGAGGGTCCCACATGGCTTGGCGGACCTCTCCTGTCTTGCCCGCTGCTCCCTTCAGCAGTGTATTTCGTCGGTCTGCCTGTTCTGTTCCCCGCTCTGGCTCTGGTGGATTCTCTCACCCTCCCGCGCTTCTGACTATACCCAGTGCTTGTATAAATAAATAAATAAATCTTTAAAAAAAAAATTAAGACTGATGCAGACCAATCAATTCTTTTTCTTTTTTCTTTTTTTATTTATTTGTTTGTTTATTTATTTATACAAGCACTGGGTACAGTCAGAAGCACGGGAGGGTGAGAGAATTCACCAGAGCCAGAGCGGGGAGCAGAGCAGGCAGAAGGAACGAAGTACACTGCTGAGGGGAGCAGCAGGCGGCAGGAGAGGTCTGCGCGCCATGTGGGACCCTCCTCTGGTGGCCGGGGAGCAGCCGGGGATCGAACCGGCACTGCAGAGGCTGCGGGCAGCTTCGCAACCCAGCGCTCAACCGCTCAACCGCTGCGCCACCCGGGAGGCCCTCTTTTTTTTTTTTTTTTAAGATTTATTTCTACAAGAACTGGGGTACAGGCCAGAAGCGCAGGAGGGTGAAAGAATTCACCAGAGACAGAGCTGGGAGCAGAACAGGCAGACGGACCAAAGACACTGCTGAGGGGAGCAGCGGGCGAGGCAGGAGAGGTCTGTCATGCCATGTGGGTATCTCCCTGGCCGGCGGGGAATCAAACCTGCGCTGCAGAGGCTGTAGACAGCTTTGCAGCGCAGTGCTCAACCTGCTGCGCCACCAGGGAGGTCCCAGACCAATCAATTCTTTTAACAATAAAAATAATGGATTGAGATTCGGGAAACATGGATTTCAGTTCATTTACAGCCTTTGGAATATAGGCCTGGCAAATTTTAAAGTTTTTGGTTGGGAAAATGAGGCATAGACTTATACTAGTTTTATGCCTACCTATGAGCAGGTCACTGGTTCTCATTGCATATGAACAAAGGAAAATTTGGGGATTTTGGTGTGTGGAGGAGGAACAGACCCAATTCTAAATACACTGGTATATATTCTGCTATTCTTTACATAAATAATTGGTCAATATCTGATACTTACATTTGGTATTTAGGCATTATTTAGATATTCATACTTTCATGTTATTAGAAGTAGACCGTTATTTTGTAATAAGGCTCATTCTTGTTTTCTTAACACATTTTTGGCAGAGTCAAGTTTTACAAGGGCAGCTCCAAGGAGGAGCAGAATGAATTTCACCCAGTATTGCTTCCCCAGAGACTCTGTTGTTCCCCCATTTTTCTCTCTCAGGAACACTTTTTTTTTTAAATCCTTTTTTTTTTTTTTAAATACTGCTGAGATCTAGGGAGATTAAAACCCATATGTGGAATAAATTCAAGTTGTGAACTGACTAGGGTTGAAATATACTTAATGACTAAAAGATTGCACTGTGAAATGTAGTTACCATTATACATTATATCAAGTTGATCCAAACTTCAGGCTTCCTAAACTTTTCCAGGACATAACCATCAGTAACCAGAAGAGGACAGCTTACATATGGAAACATACATCACAGGCAAACAACTTATCTTATTAGCACACTAGGTTGAAGTGGGAGGAGAAAGATAGGGCAGATATGGTCTGTCGCTCTTATTTTCTGTCAAATAGCTGCTGTGGGCCTTCAGGTTTCTTTGGGGTTCAGTGCACATTCAGAAAGCCACCTGACATAGTCGGTCAGGAGGTATAGTTAGAGATGCTAGAAAAGAGAATCAGTGTGGTTGGTGTGTGAATTTAGACAGGAAAATAATTACCTTTTGAATACATTGTTTGTACTAGAAATGTTTTGTTTAAATGAAAATTGAGAAAATAAAAAAAAAATTGAATCTTAGCCCATTTCACAAAAATTGAGAGGTAAATTATGTCAAATATTCTGGATAGTGGAGGAAAAAGTATTGAGTTTTATAGAGTGAAAAACTGACTTGTGAAATATAGGAAATGACTGATTGTCAGGCATAGAATAAGAGATGGACTCTGGAAAACCTCTCATACTAAATAGGATGAGACAGAAGCTATACAGGATTCCTATTTTCACTGGGCACTGTTTGCTCTGTTACAGTAAATGTTGCCTTTGTTATCATTTTTCTCAAGAAGTGGCTTCAGTCAGCTGTTTTTGTCACATTTAATAACTCTAGTATAAAATTGGTCCATGTCTAGCAAGTTTAGTTTATTTGCCAGGGAAAGAATCACTTTACATTATACAAATTCAATTATTTTGATTCTTTTCCTAGTAATATATATTTTCTTTAATTTGCCTTCTCTCCCCCCGCACCCTTACCCCATTTCTGACATGGTGGACATCTGTGTACAATGACTTTTGAAGCGTTAAAAACTTCTCCACACATATATAGAAAGGAGTTTTTGTTCCTTGTTCACCCTTTCAGATTTTTTTCATATACTTGAAATATTTTAATACTTTTATAAAAACATTTTTTAAAAACCAGAGTCTTCCTTTGGTGTTTTTTATTTTATTTATTTTTTTTTATTATTATTTTTTAATAGTGGCATGTTTTATTTATTTATTTGTTTGTTTGTTTGTTTTGTTTATACATGCACTGGGTACAGTCAGAAGCGCGCGGGAGGGTGAGAGAATTCACCAGAGCCAGAGCGGGGAGCAGAGCAGGCAGAAGGACCGAAGTACACTGCTGAGGGGAGCAGTGGGCGGCAGGAGAGGTCTGCACGCCACCTTTGGTGTTTTTTACACCATACCATATGGTTCCTTATAAATTCAGAAAATATATTACAATTTTAATAAAAACTGCATCAATAAAATCAAATTTGACTTTTTTTCCCTGCAGTAGTAAAGTGGATTGATGCAGTCTTCTGGAAATTTGATGATCTGTACTGTCATGCCAACATCTTTTGAAATCGTAGTCATTAGGACAGACATGAGGAGTTTCTTCATCCTGAATTTCCTCAGCTCTTGCTTAAGTCCTAGGTCAATAGATTGCTTTATAGTTATTCATTTGGCATTTTTGTGTATATATGTGTGTGTACATGTTTATGTATATTTATATAGATGTATATATACACACAAATACTCTAATGGAAAAAATATATATATCTTGTATTTTTTAATTCCATCATATCTAGTGGTATTACTTGTAATTCTTTCATTTTAGGTGACATAAATATTTCAGCTCTTGTTGAAGATGAGCAAGTCAGCAAAGATACAGATAATGATCTCTCTTCCTATGTATCTGCATTTATCGAGAAGGAGGTTGGAAATGACCTTAAATCTTTAAAGAAACTTGATAAACTCATAGAACAGATGACAGAGAATAAAATGCAGTTAGAAGAACAGGCAAGTATTAAAACTCATTGAAATAATACTGCTAGTATACTTACATTGTAAGTAATCTTGTTTGATTTTGAAGATAAAGATTGTGACAAATAGTCTAATTATTTTGAACTGTTTAATACGTTCAGTGACCTATAGTATGTTAGATATTTTACAAATTATGTAAAGGACAATGTTCCTACTGATATGTTTTGAACACATTAATAGTTAATATTTTTTTTTATTTTTTATTTTTAAAGATTTATTTATTTTATGCATACAAGAGCTGGGGTACAGGCCAGAGGTGTGGGGGGTGGGGTGAGAGGATTCACCAGAGACAGAGTGGGGAGCAGAACAGGCAGATTGACCAAAGTAAACTGCTACAGGGAGCAGCAGGGGAGTCAAGAGAGGTCTGCTGTGCCATGTGGGTTGCTCCCTGGCCAGCCAGGGATCGAACTCATGCTACAGAGGCTGCAGATAGCTTCATAGGTTGTGTTTTAACCCCTTGTGCCACCAGGGAGGCCCTGACCCATCTCTTAAAATGCTTCCCTATCTTGAATAATGGCACCACCATCAGACCTGAAAACTAGGAGTCCTCCTAGATTGTTTCCCATCATCCTCATTCTATCCCCATCACCAAGACATCTGAGTTCTCCTAAACATCTCGTGTGCCATCCCCACTTTCTCACCTCTGCCGCTACCATGTCATTTAGGACCATTCTCTCTTGGATTTGATGGAACTTTATCCATCCTCTGTTTATTCTAACTATCTTTTTTTACTCCTCACAGAAGTTTTATTATATGAAAATAAGCAAATATATTACACAGTTAAAATCTTTTTTATATGTAGCATAAATATTTAAAATATGCATAGCTTAGTGTTTAATGGTTAATATAATAGTCTACGTGTTTCTGTCTACCTATCTATATCTAGCCCTCTTAATGGTATTAAGATATTCGCATATGGCTGTATATAATTTATTTAACCTAGTCCTTACTGATGGTTATTTCTGCTGTTTCCAGTTTTTGTTAATAGAATTAATATGAGACTAATCATAATTACCACATTACCTTTCTAAATCATAAATCTAACTGAATTATTCCCTTGTTAAAAACTGTTGATGGATGGGCCTCCCTGGTGGCGCAGGCGGTTGAGCGCCGCACTGTGAAGCTCTCCACAGCCTCTGCAGTGTGGGTTCGATCCCAGCCAGCCGGCGAGAATTTCACATGGCGCAGCAGACCTCTCCTGTCTCGTCCTCTGCTCCCCTCAGCAGTGTATTTTTTCAGTCTGCCTGTTCTGTTCCCTGCTCTGTCTCCAGTGAATCCTCTCACCCTAATGTGCATCTGGCCTGTACCGCAGTTCTTGTATAAAAATAAATAAATCTTTAAAAAACAAACAAACAATAAAAAACTGTTGATGGTTTTCCACTACTGGACTGGAAAAAGCCCACATTCTTCTAAGGCACAAGATACACCTGTGATCTTGTTTCTCCCTACCTGTCCAGGTCATCTGTGTTTCTTTGAACTATAGTCTGTGCCCTGCTCAGCTCCTTGCTTTCTCTGATCATGACTGAGCTTTTTCTTCTGCCTGGAATGTCCTTCTCTTCCAAAGTTTCCTTCAAAAGTCTCACCACCTATCCTGCAGAATCTGTGCATGAGCCATGCAAAAACCATTGCCTTGTATGTTGAGGCAATTAGAGCTTATTAAAAAAAGGCAGACTCTCAGTTACTGCATGAGAACTGCTGAGTCTGAATTTCCATCATAACAAAATCTCCAGGTGATCTGTTTATATTCAGGTTAAGGAAGCACTGTCTGACAACACTATTATACAATAGCACATCTCTTTTTTTTTTTTTTTTTGTGGGACCTTTGCCGGCGGCCGGGGAATGAACCGGTGCTGCAGAGGCTGCGGGCAGCCTCTCAGCCCAGCACTTAACCGCTGTGCCACCAGGGGAGGCCCAGCACATCTCTTTTTTTTCCAAAGATTTATTTATGCATATAAGAGATGGGGTACAGGCCAGAGGTGTGGGGAGTGAGAGGATTCACCAGAGACAGAGTGGGGAACAGAACAGACAGATTGAAGTACACTGCTGAGGGGAGCAGCGGGCGAGTCAGGAGAGGTCTGCTGCACCATGTGGTTTGCTCCCTGGCTGGCCGGGGGATGGAACTCTGTGCTGCAGAGGCTGCAGACAGCTCCATAGGTTGTATCTTAACCCCTTGCGCCACCAGGGAGGCCCCTATAGCACATCTCTTTTATTGAATTACTACCAATCTTTGAATTATTTTCTTCATATCTCTTCCATATGAACTGAGCTGAAGGCCAGTTGTGCTGTGTCTTATTTGTCTGTCTATCCCTAGTACAGTATCTGATAGTGTCTAACCAGTAATAATTGAATTGAAATTCCTCTGTACCATATTTTTTATTGTACTGGTGTCTAATATTTCTATGCTTTTCCATATGCCATAAGAAAATTTCATTTGATAAGTACCATATCTACAGACATTACCAGTTACCATCTTCTCACGTCAGTGGTTCTCAAGCTGGGCTTGAATCAGACTCACTTAGGAAACTTACAAAATATGGATACCTAGACTTTCAGAATCAGAACTTTATTTGTTTTTGAAGGAAAACGATTAGATAAATCACGTAAATGTCCTCTGGACTTTCTGAAAATGGGCCCTTCAAGAAGGCAGATGCATAGATCTTTATTAGTGGGCTGCTGATGGACTCTTTCCCTACACTTCTCCAAACACAACATTTCACATTTCAGTTTGGTTGGCACAGGATGCAGAAGTCAAACCTTGCTTTTAAAAGCATTTAGGGCCTCCCTCGTGGTGCAAGGGGTTCAAGCACAGCACTATGAAGCGATCTGCAGCCACTGCAGCACAAGTTTGACAAGAGTTCAATCCTCGGCCGGCCAGGAGCTACCCACATGGCACAGCAGACCTCTCCTGACTTGCCCGCTGCTCCCCTCAGTAGTGTATTTCAGTCAATCCGCCTGTTCTGTTCCCTACTCTTGTTTCTGGTGAATTCTCTCACCCCCCACATCTCTGGCCTGTACCCTAGCTCTTGTATGCATGAATAAATAAATCTTAAAAAAAACCCAAAACTTTCAATTGACAATTTTCAATTATATCAGAACAAACATGTATTTTAAAAGTAATGAACTAATAAAAAAAGGTTATGAAAATTTCATCTGATGGCCGCTGTTCCCCTTTTTTTTTTTTGGCATGTTCAGGTACTTACAATTTCATCAGAAATCCCTAAAAGAATTCAGAGTGCCTTAAGAAATGCAGAAGAATCAAAGCAATTCCTAAATCAGTTTCTGGAGCAAGAAACTCATCTCTTCAGTTCCATTAATAGCCATTTGCTGACCGCACAGCCCTGGATGGATGATCTTGGGGCCATGATTAATCAAATTGAAGAGACTGAACGTCATCTTGCTTACCTTAAATGGATTTCACAAATTGAAGAACTAAGGTAAAATGGGCCTCTTTGTTCTCATAATTATTATTTTCCTTTGAGGCTCTGTCTTAGAGAGTGCATGCATGCCATTAAATAATTGAGTTAATTAAAGATTATAATAATGTAATTTTACCAGTTGTTATGAAAATAGCATTATGATAATGATTCTTTTCCTTTATTATAAATGAACATAAACTTTTCAGGGAGCTTAATTTGCATTTGAAAGGAAATAATCTAAGTAAAAATTTTAATTCCTATAGATGTATTGTGAACACATAAAAACTATTTTTATAATGTCAAGTTAGTAAAACAAACCCTCAGTGTGGTATTATTCCTCTTTATTTTTACTTTTTAGGGAGGGAGACTTAATTAAATGGATTGTTTTCTCTATAATTTCAAATATTTTCATGGGAATCATCTAGTAGGAGCTATATAGTAGTCTTAGATGACTAACATTTCTGTACCTTGTGAGTAGGGAAAAAAACTTCTTTATTTGGGGGGTTGATTTCATAACATGGCTTCTCAGCCCCCTCCCAACTGTGGTATTTCATCCTTGCTTTGTTTTAATTACTCTTGCTACAAAGCTATTAGCAATCATTGATGTTTGGAAGATTTGAGGGGGGGAAATTATCTGAGAGTCTTTTTTTTTTTTTTTAAATTTATTTATTTATTTATACAAGCACTGGGTATAGTCAGAAGCGCGGGAGTGTGAGAGAATTCACCAGAGCCAGAGCAGGGAGCAGAGCAGGCAGAAGGACCGAGGTACACTGCTGAGGGGAGCAGCGGGCGGCAGGAGAGGTCTGCGCGCCATGTGGGACCCTCCTCCGGTGGCCGGGGAGCAGCTGGGGATAGAACCGGTGCTGCAGAGGCTGCGGGCAGCTTCGCAACCCAGCGCTCAACCGCTGCACCACTGGGAAGGCCCTATCTTGAGAGTCTTAATATCCTGTTTCAAATGTATCATAGTTAAAATATTTTGTTTTGTCCTGCATATATTTCCGAAAATTTTAAAGAATTTTACCTATCTGTTCAGTATGAGAAGCTTGGTTTTGCATCAATGAGGAATTTTTAGGCCTCCCTGGTGGCGCAGCGAGTTCTCCTGCCTCTCCTCTGCTCCCCTCAGCAGTGTCTTCAGTCCGTCTGCCTGTTCTGCTCCCGCTCTGTCTCTGGTGAATCCTCTCACCCTCCCGCGCATCTGGCCTGTACCCCAGTTCTTGTATAAATAAATAAATCTTTAAAAAAAAAATGAGGAATTTTACAATTATAGATAAAGTGATATGCCTAAGAGTATAGTGTTAGAGCAATTCCAGAAATTAACTTAAACAACTTGTTCGGATAAATTATATACAGTGAAGGAATTTTATACCTTGTTTATTTTACTTCATTTTCCCCACTGCTCTGAAAGAAAATACCAGTAAGAAGCATATAAACAACCTTATTAAATAAAATCAGTTATTTAAATGCTTTACTCTTATAGTAGTCAAAGTAATAGATTAACTAAAATGGTACTATGGTTGTGAATAACCTTTTCTTGATGTCTGAATTCTTCAAAGAGTAATATGCCCAGGGAATCATATTAAACATAGAAATCAAATTCATAATCAAGTAGAGCATAGTTACTCCTCTCTTTTTAAAATAATGTATACTTTTCCTTAGGACTTTGGTGATACATCTCTATTTCTAGCTTTCTTTTGGGCTTCTGAGATTTTCTTATTTCCTAATTTCCCTCTAATGACCTGTTTTTTTAAATTCTGTAGCACCTTCTCTCTTAAAGTTACTTTTTTTCAGAACTCACATCTTCATATTAACTTTGTTGCCTGAATATTATAGTATAGGAGTAATCATTATGAAGGAAACTTACTACCCTGGCTTTGCCTATAGTTTAAATGCCATTCATGCTTCAGATTGTATGGGGATCTCTCCTATTAAGCAGTACCCCTGATTCTGTGGCTACATATACATTTTAAATTCTTTTGTAACATTTGTACATTTCTTAAACATGGTAGTTTTTATTTTAATATAATACTTATTTGGATTTATAATTTTTAGACGTGGAAAGTCATTGAGAAGTTTTTAGGTAACTTGACATAACATACAGGAAAGAACCTTATACAAGAGTTGTCACTCAGGTTTGCTTACCACCCGAACAAGCCTGCAAAGAACTGCTGGCCTTAATTTAGAAATGGAGGGTTTATTGACACCCAAGGGGAAAAAGAGTGTTTTCAAATGATAATAGCTATAGGGCCTTCCAGGTGGCGCAGCAGTTGAGTGCTGGGTTGCGAAGCTGCCCGCGGCTGCGATGCCGGTTCGATCCCGGCTGCTCCCCGGCCACCAGAGGAGGGTCCCACATGGCGCGCAGACCTCTCCTGCCGCCCGCTGCTCCCCTCAGCAGTGTACTTCGGTCCTTCTGCCTGCTCTGCTCCCCGCTCTGACTCTGGTGAATTCTCTCACCCTCCCGCACTTCTGACTGTACCCAGTGCATGTATAAACAAAACAAACTAAATAAATAAATAAAAAACATGCCTCTATTAAAAAAAAAAAATCAAATGATAATAGCTATAAAATTCAAAATCTGTTGGGCATTTTAATAAAAATGCTTAGGAAAGGAGAAAAATGAGAAAAGTAAAAGTAGGAGATAGCCAAAAGAGCTGACAAACAGAATAACACAAACATAAGCTTAATATCCTTATGGAGGCTTGAAGCAGTGATAGTGGGAAAAAAAGCACCTCATGGAAGGAGAGGAAAAATACTAATGTATAGTGGCAGGGTGAGAACACATTCCTACTCTGAGGAAGGCGCGTACCTACCCCAGATCATAGCTGCAGCAGTACATCAGAGACTACAGTCCCAGCACAGTCACCATTCAGCACAGAGGCCAAGTGCCTGGGTGGAATACAGGTAGGCTGCCTAACTTCCGATTGCCTGCAGGGGGCGACTCCTGAATTGAGATTAATTATTGAAAAGGTTATATTTTAATCCTTATTCTTAGATGAATATGTGGACTATGGTATTTTTATCAAAAGAAACATTTCAGTTTTAAATAAAACTGGCCCAGTGGGCCTCCCCGGTGGCGCAGCGGTTGAGCGCTGGGTTGCGAAGCTGCCGGCGACCTCTGCGGCGCCGGTTCGATCCCCGGCTGCTCCCCGGCCACCGAAGGAGGGTCCCACATGGCGCGCAGACCTCTCCTGCCGCCCGCTGCCCCCTCAGCAGTGTACTTCGGTCCTTCTGCCTGCTCTGCTCCCCGCTCTGGCTCTGGTGAATTCTCTCACCCTCCCGCGCTTCTGACTGTACCCAGTGCATGTATAAACAAAACGAACGAACAAACAAATAAAAACATGCCTCTTAAAAAAAATATATATATAAAAAAAAAAACTGGCCCAGTGCGAGGCTGCCCGTGGCCTCTGCAGTGCCGGTTTGTTCCCCCACCGCCGCGAGGGTCCTACACCCCCCTCCCCCCCCCCAAAAAAAAAAAAAAAGAGAGAAAGACTGACCAGAAATGAGTTGTGCCTGAGGGAATGTGACAAAGGGCAAGTCTGTTCTGTTGGGAGGAGGGGAAAGGGAGAGGTGGAGGAAGGTGTCCTGATTATTTACTGGCTGCTCTAGAGGAATGCTGAATTTGAAGACTCCAGGGTCCCAGAGACTTGTATCAGGTAAATAAGCCCCCTCAAGGTGGTACTTTATTCTATTATGTAAAACCGAAGGTAGAAGCAGCTTTTCTGAATTGGGAATTATTTTGAAAAAATGTCTTTAATAGTTTGTTTTATCTTGTTTTGCAGTGATAACATTCAGCAATATCTGATGACCAATAATGTCCCAGAAGCAGCCTCTACTCTGGTGTCTATGGCAGAACTTGATATTAAGCTTCAAGAATCATCCTGTACTCATCTTCTTGGATTTGTGAGAGCCACTGTTAAATTCTGGCATAAAATTCTTAAGGACAAGCTTACAAGGTAAAAAATTTATCCATATTTCATGGTAAATGCTCCAGGTGTTTATTTGGTGATCATTTTACTGAAATATGTGTGTGGTTTTTTTTTTGTTACAGCGATTTTGAAGAAATTTTAGCACAGCTTCATTGGCCATTCATTACACCCCCTCAGGCTCAAACTGCTGGCTTAACTCGACTGGCCAGTGCCCCTGAAATACACAGTAACCTGGAGACACTGTTTTGTCAACTTCTGAAACTACAAACCTCGTATCTCTGTCAGAGTTAAAAACTTAGTAAAATTTCCTTTTACTAGAGTGGTTTTGTGGCTGGAGAGTAAAACTTTTCTAAAGTAGCTAGGAAGCCAAATAGGAATTCAAGGTTTAGACTTAATCTATATGTGCCCATGAAGTGGTGGACTGTTCTCTTTCAAAGTGAATTACACTTGGGTGAGAGGGCTGTGAGTTCTGAAATACATGACTAACTTAACAGAAAAAAATGGGCAATCGGAGGAAACCTTAATAACTTAGTGCTATAAAATAATTACTTAAATTCATTTATTTTGGGGGAGATTAATTCTAATAACTTTATATACTGTATTGAAATCACAATGTAAAGTTAGACTACATTAAATTAGACTATATACATATCTGTATTATAATTAGACTAATTTTACTTAGGATAAAGTACTTTGGTTGGAAAAAGTTATTGTATGTATACATATACATACATATGCACATCTATACATATACATATATACGTGTGTACGTTTGCATTTCTTTTTTCTTGACTTGACTATGTCAGAGATGAATTATTTACTGAGCCAAAACACCTCCCAGAAAAATACTCTCTTCCTGCATCCCCTTCTGTCATCCTGCCCATCCAGATTATGCTGACTCCCCTTCAGAAGCGGTTCAGATATCACTTCAGAGGGAACCGACAGACTAATATGCTAAGCAAGGTATGCTTTGTCAGTTCTTGTCCTTGATTTTTATTAATAGCAAATGTTAATAATGTCTGTACTTTTGCTAATTTAAGATAAAATCTGAGTTTCTATTCACATTTTTTTCCTCAAAAGAAATAAATTCCGGGGCCTCCCTGGTGGTGCAAGGGGTTAGGTCCCAGCACTCCAAAGCTATCTGCAGCACGAGTTCGATCCTTGGCCAGGGAGCCACATGGCACAGCAGACCTCTTCTGTCTCACCTGCTGCTCCCCTCAGCAGTGTATTTCAGTAGATCCACCGGTTCTGCTCCCCACTCTGTCTTTGGTGAATCCTCACCCCCATACCTCTAGCCTACACCCCAGCTCTGTATGCGTAAATACATAGAATAAATCTTGACAAAAAAAAAAAAGAGCCTCTAGAATGAGGCAAACCTATGCTCTATAACTTGCTAAATGAGTCACTTTAGATAAATAATTAGCCTTGGTGAACATCATTTCCTCATCTGCAAGATGGGGAGAATAACAAAAGAAATAAATTCCTGTTTTGTCACTGTCTTAAATAGATATATTTTCAAACTTGTGTTGATAAATTGTAGGAGTCAGCTCACTCATCAGCACACTATCTGACTAATTTCTAGTTTCCCTTTGGGTGTACTGTAGCATTACTGCAGTACTGGATCCACATTTATTTATTTATTTTTTAAAGATTTATTTATTTATACAAGCACTGGGTACAGTCAGAAGCGCGGGAGGGTGAGAGAATTCACCAGAGCGGGGAGACGGACAGGCAGAGCAGGCAGACGGACGAAGTTCACTGCTGAGGGGAGCAGCAGGTGGCAGGAGAGGTCTGCGCGCCATGTGGGACCCTCGCCCGGTGGCCAGGGATTGAACTGGCGCTGCAGAGGCTGCAGGCAGCTTTGCAGCCCAGCGCTCAACCACTGCGCCACCGGGGAGGGCCGAGAATTAACTTTTGAATATAGGTACTGGTGCTAATAATTGTGAGAGAGAGATAAGGTATGGTGGAAAGAAGTGTGGAAGCAATTCACTAAGTAAAACAAAGCAATAAATCTAAAGTTGTAGAGAGGTAGTAATACTTTGAAGGAGGGAAATTGTGAATTATGTTTTTTTTGAAGTGTGGTTCCAATGATTTCAGAGCCTAAACTCTAGTTCTTGATATTAGAGACAGTTCTGCAGTCATTTTTTTATTCACACAACAGGGATTTACCATTCAGTAAATATTTTTTAATCCCTTCCCAATAAAACTTTTATAGGACATTCTCTAGAGACAATTTAAAATGCTTCATATTAAAAATTATTTTGATAATTATACCTGTATTTAAAGCATATGTAATTCTTGTAATGCAGACCAGCCACATTTAAATTTTTTGGGGGGGAAAAAAGGTCAGAAGAAAATAATGTTTAAAACTTAGTTTGGATATTTTTAAAGTGCTAGGTTTAAATACATATGGCATTATAAATTTTTTTTTCTTTTTTTTAGTGTACAGCAGCCTCAGATTTGATTACATGGCAATACAAGAAAAATGTGCTGTATGTTGTCTATTATTAAAGCTGCTTTGGGGCCCTGTGTTGGGTGCCTCGGGGATTTTAATAAAAAATTAGTAATAGGTCTGCTGCCCTGGCTCACTGTGGTTTTTTAGAGTATTTGTGGGTTCAGGGCTAGTCCTGCAGTGCAAATTAAGTCATTGGCATTATAAATTTTAAGTATAAATTATAATTATATGTCATAAATTTATGGGACTAAGCTATATATATATATATATATTTTTTAGAGATTTATTTATTTATATAAGAACCGGGGTACAGGCCAGATTTGTGGAAGGGTGAGAGGATACACCAGAGACAGAACAGGGAACAGAACAGGCAGAGTGACTGAAACACACTGCTGAGGGGAGCAGTGAGTGAGACAGGAGAAGTCTGCCGCCCCATATGGGACCCTCGTGGGCCAGCCAGCATCTAACAGGCGCTGCAGAGGCTGCGGACAGCCTCACAGCGCTGTGCTCAACTGCCTGCGCCACCAGGGGAGGCCCCGGACTAAGCTATATTATTGGACTTTGTTGGGAGTACACTGGGAAATATTTGATTATTAAGCCTTAAATGATTTCAAAGTAGAAATTGTACTATGACATACAGGAATTTTTCAACTAATTTTTATAATTGCTGTTTGTATAGAATTAAAGAGAGCCTTTTAACTTTCTAGTTGGAATGACTTAAGAATTCTGTTTCACTTCCTTCCTCAGCCTGAGTGGTACTTGGCTCAGGTACTTATGTGGATTGGGAACCACACTCAGTTTCTGGATGAGAAGATTCAGCCAATATTAGACAAAGCAGGCACTTTGGTAAATGCAAGGGTAAGAGACTTAGTCTTAAGCATTACAGTTTAGAGTTGTATGTATCTGTGAATAACTTGTCATTTACAGTACCTTATGCTATATATTTCTTTTAGCTTGAATTTTCTCGGGGCCTCGTGATGCTGGTTCTTGAGAAGTTAGCTGCTGATATTCCTTGTCTTCTCTATGATGACAATCTCTTCTGTCATTTGGTGGATGAGGTGCTTTTGTTCGAAAGGGAGCTCCACAGTGTTCATGGCTATCATGGCACTTTGGCTAACTGTATGCATATCCTATCAGAGGAAACTTGTTTTCAGAGATGGCTGACTGTGGAGAGAAAATGTAAGTGCTAAAGTGGTTAGAGGGTAGGGAGAGATTTATATGTATATATAAAATTTTGGTGTTTTTCTACTCTGGGTCCGGGTAGAAATGAGAGCTATATAACTTCTTGTTCAGAGTTTAAGAAGTTGCCTTCAGAGATCATTTTATATTCTTCCCATCAAACTTCAGTTTTTTTCTGGAATTGCAGTCTACATGTTTCTAGCCAGTATACAGTTAACTGTTTTATAGAGTTTATATATAGTATTTGTTTTCTTGGTAGAATCATTTTGAAAATAGCTTGTCTAGTTGATATATTTTGAACATTTTGGAGTAGGGTAGGGATGAAATATTTTGTTTAACCTTAAAACAGAGCAAGTTAAATATAATTCATCTAGTGAGTTTTTTTCCTTAAAGATTTATTTTTTACTTATTTATGCATAGAAGAATTGGGGTGTAGGCCAGAGGTACAGGTATGTGTGTGAGAGGATTTTCCAGAGACAGAATGGGGAGAACAGGAGGATTTACTGAAATACACTGCTAAGGGGAGCAGCAGGCGAGACAGAAGAGGTCTGTTGCACCATGTGGGTTAGCTCCCTGGGGAGGGACTGAACTCAGGCCTCATGGTGCTGACACTTAACCTCTAGGCCACCAAGAAGGCCCTAGTTTTTTTGTTTTTAATAGAAAAGTCATAATTCTAGGGGCCTCACTGGTGGTGCAAGGGGTTAAGACGAAATCCATGAAGCTTGCCACAGCACTGTAGCAAAAGTTCGAACCTGGGCCAGGGAGCTACCCACATGGCACAGCAGACCTCTCTTCACTTGCCCGCTGCTCTCTTTGGCAATGTATTTCAGTCAATCCATCTGTTCTGTTCTCCACTCTGTCTCTGGTGAATCCTCTCACCCCCCACAACTCTGGCCTGTACCCCAGCTCTTGTATGCATAAATAAATGTTTAAAAAAAAAAAAAAGAAGAAAGTCATAATTCTTAAAAAGTTTTAAGTTGAAAAATTAGGAATGACTATAAATACGCAGTTGATATGATCCTTTTCTCTGCATATCAGTCGCTCTTCAAAAAATGGACTCAATGCTTTCATCAGAAGCTGCCTGGATATCTCAATATAAGGATATCTCTGATGTGGATGAGTTGAAAGTTCCAGACTGTGCAGAAACATTTATGACACTGCTCTTGGTTATAACTGGTAAATATAAGTCTTTAAACATGACTTTGGTTTAAAAGTACTGATTCTCCACATGGCACTTCTAAGAATTTTAGTACTTTCTGAATCCTCTGGCCATTCAGCTTAAGTGTCAATAGATAGTGATTGTCCTAAATTTTAAGTATTTTGTTTACCATGATAGATCAAAGATTACAGAAGAATAAAATAATAAACTAACTTGAAGGATGTGAGTAGTAATAGAAACTCTCAAGATAGTGCAAGAATTTATGACCAGAGGGTGGCCCAGTAGACTCCTGGCTGGTCCATAGCTGTGCCCCCCGCAGGCCTGCTGTTCTCCAGGTACAGGGCGCTCGTTACCATCCTCCTCCCTTTGTCCTTTCCTTGGAGCTGTAGAGTAACCCAAAGAAGGGTCATTCTGCCCAGTCAGTATGTAATTCCGTATTTTTAACTGTAAGAAAAATATGAAAATTCAACACTAAAAATTTAGATCTCATTTTTCTTTTCTTTTCTTTTCTTTTAATTTTTTTTCTTTTCTCTTTTTTTTTTTTCCTATATATTTTTTTAAAGATTTATTTATTTATTTATACAAGCACTGGGTACAGTCAGAAGCGCGGGAGGGCGAGAGAATTCACCAGAGCCAGAGCAGGGAGCAGAGCAGGCAGAAGGACCGAAGTAAACTGCTGAGGGGAGCAGCGGGCGGCAGGAGAGGTCTGCGCGCCATGTGGGACCCTCCTCCGGTGGCCGGGGAGCAGCCGGGGATCAAACCGGTGCTGCAGAGGCTGCGGGCAGCTTCGCAACCCAGCGCTCAACTGCTGCGCCAGCGGGGAGGCCCTAGATCTCATTTTTCAAAAAAGATTTTTATTAGGGAAATTTTCAAATACACAAAGAAGTAGCATAATACAGTGACCCCTCAGGTATTTGTTACTAGGTTTAAAAGAGTTGTCACTTTTCTATTACATGTTTTTCTCCACAACATTTTCCATCCTGGGTTATTTTAAAGAACATTTCAGGATCACTTCTTCACTTATAATTCTTAAGTATGTATCTTTTTTAACCTATCCTAGTTCCGTCTTTTCAAAAATTAAAAAGTCATTTATTTTTTGAGGAAATGGAGTGTTTTTTGTAATAATTTTCTCATGTACCTTTTGAAAAATTGATGTATAATTTATATTTGGTGAACTGCAGATTCTTATGTGTATAGTTCAATGAGTTGTGACTGTTAAATGTACTTGTGAAATCCATGTCCTTGGAGAGTGTAGAAATAGATCCATACTTGAATGGTCAATTGATTTTTGACAAAGGCACCAAAGCAGTCAGTCGGGAAAACCTTAACTGTATCATGACTAGTACCAAAAACCTTCATATGTCTTAACTTTCTCCACAGACAGGTATAAAAATCTTCCCTCAGCTTCCCGAAAGCTGCAGTTCCTGGAGTTACAGAAGGACTTAGTGGATGATTTTAGGATACGATTAACTCAAGTGATGAAAGAAGAGACTAGAGCTTCCCTTGGCTTTCGCTACTGTGCAATTCTTAATGCTGTGAACTATATCTCAACAGTACTAGCAGATTGGGCTGACAATGTTGTAAGTTAACGTGCTTTTTATATGAAATAATAGAGTAATAGTTTAAATAATTTTACCTTTGGAAATGTTGATTATACAGTAAGCAAAAATGTATGGGTTAGGCAGAATCATAATTAGGTCAAACTTAGTGTGATTAAAGTGCGAGTTTTTCCTCAGTAAAGTCTCAAATGGTTAAATAATTCTGATACTGTAATCATTGGAAAGTCAAGAATTTTAATAAAATAGGTTTTTATAATATGAACCTTTTTCCTTTTTTACACCTTGAAAAATTCATGTATGGTAATTCACATTTCAGAAAAAATTATAATAAAGGTGTCAAAAAAACAATAAAATCCAGTATTTTAAGGAAAATATTTGTTGCCTCTTGAATGCTTCCAAAGCATGATAAATTATGAAGAATATTTGAAATAGAAAATTTTTTAACTTTTAATTATTTCATACATTAAAAATTTAATGTTTCAAATATATACAAAAGTAAATAGAAATTCTATTTATAAAAGTAAAAAGTTAAATTCCATGTGCCTATCAGCCACCTTCTTACACCAGTTTTCTCTCATTTAAACCTCTCCTCCACTCCCCATGCTTGATTATTTTGAAGTAGATCTCAAATAGCATGTTTCATGGTATTTCAGTATGTATCTCTAAAAGGTAAGAACTCTAGAAAATAATGTCATCACAATACTATTATCACATCCAAAAGGATTAATTTCTTATATTGGAAGTTATATGGAAGTTTTATTTTAAATAAAATCTTTGGATCCAGTTAACAAGTAAGGATTCATCAATAAGGATTTTATTTATTCTTCCTTTCACCAGGCAGATTCCATGGGTTGACAGATTTGATCTGCCTAAATATAAATTAAGTAGCAATTTATTTTTATTCTTTTTACTAATCCAAGGAATATATTGCTTTTGGGACTTTTAGTAACCATATTTTTCCACATGTACTTCCAGCCAAAAGTGAAGAAACTTAGTAGCCTTTATAGCCTTAACAGAAATAAGACCTTTAGATGTTTTAGATATTAAAATGATCTCAGAGGGTCTTGAGGACCTCCTTCTTGGATTAGGGTGCTCTTGGATTAGGAATCACTGTTCAAAGATTATCTGTGTAGATACAAAAATCAGCTTAGATTTCCATTAATGTGTCCCATAGATTTCATGACACAGAGTTACTAGAGAATAAAGATAACCATAAAATCGTCAAATGTACATTAAAAGGTGAAAAAACTACACTAAGGATAATGAATATGAAGATACATTATAAATGTAGAGTATTTCATGATTGTGTCATGAAATAAAAATAGGAAAGTAAAACAACTAATTTTAACTAAAAAGTTAAAAATACCACTTTTAAAATGTGCTAGGTAAAGTGGGAATTGAAAAAATTAGAGTTAAATAATTAGAATAAGGAAAATTGATTAACTGAGGGTTGGTGATAAGTTTACATATACTAAGGAAGATCCAGTTTTTTAAAGTGTGTCTATGAGTCCCAAAGATGGATAAGGTAAATTTAAAATTGCTGTATATTGTAAAATCTTAATGTAATAAAACAAAAAATAAAAGCAGAAGTGAAATATACTTAGATATTTAAACTATTTAATGCCTGGGTTAGAGAAAGAAATTAGAAAATATGACAATATTTTTTAAAATATGAATTTATGAAAAAAATTATAGTATACTGCTAAGTGTTATATAGAAGAGAACTTACTCCTTTACTGCGAAAGAAAACAAAGGTTTTTATCTTAAATATAGCATAAGCCAAAATAGATAACAAAAATAAATATAATGATGACAGATATAAACAAGATGACAATCAGTGTGTTCTTATTTGGACTCTGGCTGGGACAGTAATTATTTAAAGCCTGTTCTACAAAAATGTTAACTGAGATCCATAATAGCATTCTGCTGAGCAGGAAAATAAGAGAAAATAATTATTTCATAAAATAAAAATGTAGAGTGTAATAATCAATGCACTTAGTCACCTCATCAAAATAATAGGAGTGTATTTTAATGTATTATTTCTAATTTTAATAAGTACTGTATTTATTCAGCCCGCACACTGCTCCATTTTCTGGTAAACTTTTTCATATCTTGAAACAAACTCATTTTTTATTTTTATACCAGCTGATCAAATAATAGACTCATTCTGAGTCATACTTTTAGCTTCCCAAAATATTTGTGGAACACATTAATTGCTTGATGCTATAGTCTATTTAACAAAGATGAATTGGCCATCATCCCTATCCTTAGACAATTTGTAATCTGATACTGAATTAACTGAATACTTCCGTCAACAACTAACCAAAGTTTAAGAACTGACTGTTGAAATGATGAAGTAACTCTCTGTTCTAGTATGGTTATTATGGTAAATTGTTTGACATCGAGAGTCCTTTAATCATCTTTTAGTCCTGCAGACTGTGAATCCTTTCATCATTTACAATCAAGTTACACAGATGGAAAAAGAATGGACAGATTTCACCTTTCATTCATTTCACACTCTATTAGTAGCTGTCCATTGCCAGGTTGTGCCAAGCCCAACATAACCATCCACTCAAAATTAGAACTTTTTCAGTTGTAAGTAAGGAGTTGGGGTGGAGTGAGGAGGCGAGAAATTTTTGTAACTGAAAGTATTAGGGATGGCTGCTGAAGTGGTTCATTTCTAGCTTTATTCTCAGACATGCTCTGGTAAATATGTCCATAGGTAGCTCCTGGCTAATATATGCCATCAGACATCTCAAAAGGACAGTGCCTTCATGTCCCTGATAGTTTAAGCAGAAATACCAAGGTGGCCTTTCACCTGTTCATCCTTGAACACTCACTAGTGTGGCCACGCCTGTCTTCTTTTAGTGGACATTTAAGTTGTTTTTAACCTTTTGCTAATTATCCACTGCATTATTTTCCTGTAGGGCAGAAAGACTACTACTAATTCTACCTAAAATGCCACTGTAAAAATTGCTAATCTTAATTCACATATCTGCTAGGTTTACTACAAGTCTATCTGTGCCTAGAAAAAAGATGAGTACTTAAAGAAGTGAGCTATCAGAGAAATACAAATCAAAACCACAATGGACTACCACTTTATATAAACTAGGATGGCTATAGTAACAAAGAACTGTTAGTGAGGATGTGGAGAAATCTGAATTCTCATATACTCTAGATAGGAGTGTAAGATGGTGTCATTGCTATAGAAAATAGTCTGGTGTTTCCTCAATTAAACAGAGTTGCCATGTGATCCAGCAATTCTACTCCTAGGTATATACCCATGAGAAATGAAAATATATGTCCATGCAAAAATTTATACATGAATATTTATAGTGGTATTATCCATGATAGACAAAAAAATGGAACTAACCCAAATATCTATCAGCTGGTAATAGAAAAATAAAATGTGGTTCATGTAATAGAATATTTGGCAATGAAAGGAAATAAGTACTGATACCTGTTACAATATGGATAAATCTTGAAAATATACAAAGTTAAAGTTAGTTATAAAAAACCAGTGTATGATTCCACTTATATGAAATATTTAGAATAGGCAAATCCATAGAGACAGAAAGTAGAGTAGGGTTGCTTAGAGAGCTGGGCGTAGCCTATAGTAGACTGGGGGATGATGTCTTGAGGGGTTTCTTTTTGGGGTAATGAAAACATTCTAAAACTGACTGTGGTAATAGATGCAGAACTTCAAATATATGAAAAGATGCTGAATTGCATACTTTTAAGTGAGTGAATTGAATGGTTTATGAATCATTTCAAGTTGTTAAAAATAAAAGGCGTAGTGTAATAAGCATGTTAACATGTTTTTGCTTTCAGTTCTTTCTACAACTTCAACAGGCAGCACTGGAGGTCTTTGCAGACAACAACACTCTCAGTAAATTGCAGCTGGGACAACTGGCCTCTATGGAGAGCTCTGTCTTTGATGACATGATTAACCTGTTAGAGCGTTTGAAGCATGACATGTTGACCCGTCAAGTAGATCATGTTTTTAGAGAAGTTAAAGATGCTGCAAAATTGTATAAAAAAGAAAGGTAAGTCCTCTGTATTTTCTTCTTTATCAACTCTGATAATAGTCAGACTTCCAAGGTGTCTAGGTAGCAAGCATAGAGTTTGACATTTTGTGCTCCAAACTTTTAACTGCCTTTGATGGAAATCTCTCTAAAATATGTTCACACATTCTTAGAAGAAACTGATCATAATTTAACCTTTAGTGGTGTCTGTAAATACAGAGAACTGGTCTGTGCCAGGGGGTTGATCTAGCCTGTCCCCCATTTTACAAAGGTGCTCCTGTAGCACTCTGAGTACATGCATGGTACAGTTTATCCCACTGCTGTAATTCCCTGTGAACACCTCTTTTTCCTCCACCAGACTGTGAGTGCCTGACATAGGAAATATCTATCTGTCCTAGTAGAGTTCCTGTCACACAGAGTACTTATATTCAACTTGGAAGTCTTATTATAGTCTCTGTTTTGTTGAAAATTAGAGCATAAAATTAGCTGATGTATTAAACGATTAATACATTTTATATTTTAACTGTTTTATACTACTAAGTCATATAAAAAATTTGGGATTAAAAAATACTATCCTCATTAAAGAAAGAATATTTAACTGAGAACTAGAGCGTAACTATAGGTACATTTGTTTTCTAAGAAAGCTTTTAATGTTGTACAGAACATTTTTTCTAATTGAAAATGCCCAGAACACTACTTTCTCAAGTTTAAAATGGTTTAACCATTTGTTAAAATCTTGTTAATTAAAATTGTTGGTTGTTAAAATGATAAACAATACAAAAGTGATGACATTAGTTAGGAAACAAGGAACATGCTAGAGGTAATGCTGTTTTGCTTCTTCCAGGTGGCTGTCCCTGCCATCGCAGGCAGAGCAGGCAGTCATGTCCTTGTCCAGTGCTGCCTGCCCCTTCCTGCTCACGTTACGAGACCGTTTACTTCAATTAGAGCAGCAGCTTTGCTTCTCCTTATTTAAAATTTTCTGGCAAATTCTTGTGGAGAAGCTGGATATATACATCTACCAAGAAGTAAGAGCAGTCTATATATTTTGGGGCTGTGAGATAATGGCAACTGTTACATGAATTATTTTTGGTTTCAGATAATTCTTGCTAATCACTTCAATGAAGGAGGAGCTGCTCAGCTGCAGTTTGATATGACTCGGAATCTTTTCCCTCTGTTTTCCCACTATTGCAAGAGACCAGAAAATTATTTTAAACAGTAAGTTCAATATGGAACAATATTGATGTATAAACTTATTAGAGGAGGTTGAATTTTTTAAATAACTTTAGGTTTCCAGTGATGTTTGGTTAAAAATTAAAAATTTTTAACATTTATTGTATACCAGAATAATATATAATGTGACCATTGACCCCCCCAAATTTACCAGAACTGGATATAAATTATATGTTGGGGGCCTCCCCGGTGGCGCAGCGGTTGAGCACTGGGTTGCGAAGTTGCCCGCGGCCTCTGCGGCGCCGGTTCGATCCCCAGCTGCTCCTCGGCCACCGGAGGAGGGTCCCACATGGCGCGCAGACCTCTCCTGCCGCCCGCTGCTCCCCTCAGCAGTGTGCTTCGGTCCCTCTGCCTGCTCTGCTCCCCGCTCTGGCTCTGGTGAATTCTCTCACCCTCCCGCACTTCTGACTGTACCCAGTGCATGTATAAACAAGCAAACAAACAAATAAAATAAATAAAAAAAAAAATTATATGTTGGGCTTTGCTTTCTAATGTTTGGTTGTATACTCCTAATATGCTTATTTCTAGGAATTACATAGAAAATGAAAGCTAGTTCTGTCAGTAAAATAAAATTTAAAAAAAAAAAGAAACTAAAAATAACATATTTTTAGTTTCTTTTTCTTTTTTTTTAAAGTCTTTAAAAAGATTTATCTATTTATACAAGAACTGGGGTACAGGCCAGAGGTGTGAGAGAATTCACCAGAGACAGAGCAGGGAGTAGAACAGGCAGAGTAACTGAAAACACTGCTGAGGGGAGCAGCGGGAGAGACAGGAGAGGTCTGCCGCACCATGTGGGTTTCTCCCTGGCTGGCCAGGAATCGAACCCATGCTGCAGAGACTGCGGACAGCTTCACAGCGCTGCGCTCACCTGCAGCACCACTGGGGAGGCCCTATTTTTAGGTTTTTTTTTTTTTTTAAAGGACAGGTTTATTAGGAAAGGGATAAAGAAAAAGAGAGGCACCTGCATAGTCACAGGTGGGCAAGAGAGCTGCTAAAAATATATTTAATACCTAATGACAGAACGGGCCTGAAAAGTTTCTTAAACATTTGATGCTAATTTTGACTCTAAGGATAGCTATGAATGTATGTAGGGTTTCTTAGTATTTTTGAAGTTGTTGATTTAAAATTTATTTTTTTTTTAATTTTTTTTTTTAAATTTTCTAGAGGCATGTCTTATTTATCTATTTGTTTGTTTGTTTGTTTGGTTGGTTTATACATGCACTGGGTACAGTCAGAAGCCGGGAGGGTGAGAGAATTCACCAGAGCCAGAGCGGGGAGCAGAGCAGGCAGAAGGACCGAAGGACACTGCTGAGGGGAGCAGCGGGCGGCAGGAGAGGTCTGCGCGCCATGTGGGACCCTCCTCCGGTGGCCGGGGAGCAGCCGGGGAGCAGCCGGGGATCGAACCGGCGCCGCAGAGGCCGCGGGCAGCTTCGCAACCCAGCGCTCAACCGCTGCGCCACCTGGGAGGCCCTGTTGATTTAAAATTTAAATTAGAGGGTTTCTAATGTTATGAAATATTTCTTTTAAACTTATTATAAAAAAATCATACTTGTTTCAGTAAGACATTGACTTGTCTTTTTTAACATTCCACCTTTCAGGTTCTTTCAATTTTCTCTTTTCTCATATCATAATCTACCTAAATAAAACCTTAGCTACATGTAGTAGACTCTCAATATCAGTTATTATATTTGGGGAAATAAGAGTATATATTAAAAACAATGATCCTATTACCTTAGAGTAACTTCATAAAGTATGCACTCTGTACATATACAGTCATAATATTTTCAAAGAGCCAAATAATAAATCCATAAATTGTTTTCATAGAAGGCATATGGACTAACAAAGCAGGGAAGGTGTTTAGTTTCTCAAAAGTGAAATTTTTACGGGATAATTTGGATGATATACATAATGGACATCTCATTTTCCTCCTGCCTTTTTTTTTTTTTAACAGTATAAAAGAAGCCTGTATTGTTTTGAATTTGAACATTGGTTCTGCCCTACTTCTGAAAGATGTCCTGCAGTCAGCTTCAGGGCAACCTCCTGCCACAGCAGCATTAAATGAAGTCGGAATTTACAAACTGGCACAGCAAGATGTTGAGATTCTACTTAATTTGAGGACAAACTGGCCTAATATGGGAAAATAATGCATCTTTTGTTTTAGGTGTTTTTTTTTTTTTTTTAAACAAAGGGAAGCCAGTTGGATTTCAAGTTATATGATTAAGTCTGAATTAATGAAACTGGAGAGCTTAAATCTTTACAGACATTTATTGTTTTGGACTTACAATGTTATTAAAATGCTGACCATATTTCATTAGTCCTCTCCTTCCTAAGAAAACAAAAACAGAAAACTCAGAATCTATGAAAACACAAGTAGTTCCATTTACAAATTGTTGAATGTATCTACTGTATGAAATACAAGAACAGAAATAATATAACCAACTTTCAATTTCCCATTTTAATTAAAGAAGATTCGGTTGTGGATAATCAAACACATCAAAGGAACCAAGAAAAAATAATTTTAGATGTATGTTAATCACTGAAATTCCTGTATCTAGTTTGGAAATTAACTGTATATCCCATAAGAAAACACATTTTTAGATGGTGATAAAATAGGATTGTTCTTATTTTCCACAAATATCCTTCCATTTAAAATACTTCCTAGTTCCATTCCATGTGATTTTGGCAACCTTTTCTTTCTTGAAACATTTCAGCCTAAAACATTGCTTCACTCTTTCCCCTGGGATAAGGAATATAATTAAACTTTAAAAAAAAAAAATTTATATAACTGATGCTGAGATGGGAATCTTAGACCTTTTTTCTTCTAATTTTTTCCCTGGCCTTAGACTATATTAAACAATAATTTCCTGATTAATAGATCCTCAGAGAGTAAAACTTTTGAACAAATTGAACTAGATTGGCTGGAGGCTTTCTACAATTCAATTTTATTTCAATTTTTTTTCTGACTTAAATTAGCCTTTATTTAGAACTTTTCATAGTATAATACCTCAAAGCCAAAATTGTCAGGCTAGTATGCAGCATATAGTATTGATAAACATTTATTTTGTGATAAGTAATTTTGAGGTAATAGTTTGAAAGAAATTGTGTTACTCTACACAGAGATTTTTGAACTGGTATATTAAGTTTGTGGGGGAGGGGGGACAAAACCCAAACTAGTGTATTGAGCTACTGGGGGCTTCTCCAACTAATCCTTTGAGAATTGCTGGATTCCCATTGAGAAAAGAATGAAGCTGCCTCTGGAATTTGGTCTCTAACTCTACCATCTTCCACTTCCCTATTCCAGACTCAGTGTCTTTATTGTGCCCCCTCCCTATCAGCTGAAAGTTTCAAGGGAATAAAATGCTTCTCTCAAGGTAGAAACCTCTGTTTTAAAATGTATTAATTGTACTTCAAAATCATGCCACATTATTTAAATATTAGTCATTTAAAAAGAAACTTACACCTCATTCTTGAATCTCTCCAAAGTTATTGCACGTCCATCATCTTTTAAAACTTCATCTGCAGTACACAGACCCAGGGTTTTTAGGGCTGTGAAAAAATAAGAAGAAAGGAAAATTTAACAGGCCTCCCTGGTGGTACAAGGGGTTGAGCATAGCACTATGGGGTGGTCCACAGCCTCTGTGGCACGAATTCAATCCCCAGCCGGCTGGGAAGCTGCCCACATGGCGCAGCAGACCTCTCCTGGCTCGCCCGCTGCTCCCCTCAGCAGTGTACTTCAATCAGTTTGCCTGTTCTGTTCTCCACTCTGTCTCTGGTGAATCCTCTCACCCCCTGCACCTCTGGCCTATACCCCCCAGCTCTTGTATGCATAAATAAATCAATCTTAAAAAAAAATTTTTTTTAAAGAAAAAACTTACAAGGTAACAATCACTTTCCGCTAGTGATACTTAAGAATGATGAGAAACTTACTTCAATTTGTAGAAGATACTGACCTTCTTTATACTGCACAAATGATATGGTGCCTCTCTTTGAGGAGTCCATCATCTCAAACATAGATACAATGTTAGAGTTATCCATGAAGAGAGGAAAATGTACACCTGTTATTTTGGCAATTCTCAGTCGTTCCAATAGAGATATTAAATATTCCCTTGGTTTTCCTGTAAAAGAATAGTTTCAGTTCTTATATGAAATTAAAATCACAATGGGGGCCTCCCTAGTGGCCTAGGGGTTAAGTCTCAGCACTATCACCACTATGGCCTGAGTTCAATTCCTGGCCAGGGAGCTAACCCACATATGGTGCAGCAGACCTCTCCTGCCTTGCCCGCTGCTCCCCTTAGAGTGTATTTCAGTAGTTCCATCTGTCCTGCTCCCCACTTTGTCTCTGGTGAATCCTCTCACTCTCCGCACTTCTGATCTATACCCCAGTTCTTTCTACACACTGAAAAAAGACATTTAAAATAAAATGTCACAGGGCCTGGTGGCGCAGGTGGTTGAGAGCTGCACTGTGAAGCTGTCCTCAGCCTCTGCAGCGCGGGTTCGATCCCTGCCAGCTGGCAAGAATCCCACTTGACGCAGCAGACCTCTCCTGTCTCAACCGCTGCTCCCCTCAGCAGTATGTTTCTTCAGTCTGCCTGTTCTGTTCCCCGCTCTGTCTCTGGTGAATCCTCTCACCCTCCCGTGCATCTGGCCTGTACCCCAGTTCTTGTACAAATAAAATCTTAAAAAAAAAAAATAAAATGTCACAAATGGAACTATAGTCATTTAACAATTACCAAATACCTTTGTTGAAGGTATAGTACTGGGCACTGGGATTGTAGGCCTTACAGAAAAGGCAAGACATTGAACAAACTAGATATACAAGTGCTTTACCCCAGATGGGTGAAAAAAAAGTAGAGATTAGACCGCCAGCTTTTTTTCAAAAGATCGGGTAAATCTAATTTTCAGACATTTAAAAATTTTGGAATTGAGGATGTGTGATCATGGACCTGTCCCCTCAAAAACAGCCTGAGCACGCTGTCTAGTCTTAATTTCTGTAACTCCTTTACATTTCCAAGGTTTTCATACTCGCATACATGTCATAATGCAAGTGGCTTCCCAAGGACCCAAAGTGTGTCTACCTGAGCATCAGTCACACTCCGGTGGGTAATACGAAACGTTTATATTAAATGCTTATAACTATAGAAGAACAAAATACAAATGTTTAGGATAAAAGAAGTAACCTTAAGAAACATTCTATGTAATATCAGGCAAAAAGTCTCCTTTGCCACAAAGAGTAACCTCTGAGCAGCATTACAGGGTCCTGGCAGAGGAGAATTTTAAAGGATCAAGCTGGACAGTGATCTAGTTAAACTTAGGTAGATCGCTGGTAGATTGCATTGGTTGACAGGAGTGTTTCGACAGAATACTAGAGTGTGGGGTCTTTTATAACAATTAGCAGATGGGGGCTTCTCTGGTGGCGCAAGGGGTTAAGACGCAACCTATGAAGCTGTCCGCAGCCTCTGCAGCGAACCACCTAAGTTTGGCTAGATCACTGTCCAGCTTGATCCTTTAAAATTCTCCTCTGCCAGGACCCTGGAACTGTCCCTTGGTGATAGACTTTGATCATGATCCCTATTCTGGAATAAATGTTCTCTCGATTACATTACAGTCTGAGTCGACAACATAAGCACATTTTCTACATATTATACTTTAAATGATCTCTGTTACTTCTGATACCGAATGTAACATAAACACTATGTAAATAGCCGTTATACTGTAGTCAGGCATAAGGGTAATACATATTATTTTACCTTCCCTACATAGGCATGAGATTGATACTATTTTTAATTTTTTTAAAAATTCATTTATTTATACCTACAAGAGCTGGGGTGCAGGCCAGAGCCCTGGGGGGTGAGAGGATCCACCAGAGACAGTGGGGAACAAAACAGGCACACCATTGAGGGGAGCAGCAGGTGAGCCAGGAGAGGTCTGCTGTGCCATGTGAGCTGCTCCTTGGCAACGCTGGGGATCGAACTTGTGCCGCAGAGGCTGAGGATTGCCTCATAGGCTGCATCTTAACGCCTTGTGCCACCAGGGAGGCCCCGAGATTGATACTATTTTTATTCCCATTTTTTCCAGAAGTTCAGGCTCTTGCCCATAGTCACACAATATTAAGCAGTTGAGCTAGGAACCAGGCTGCCACTTGGGGCCTCTCTCACACCTGCCATGAGCTGGCCATGGAGGCACAAAGAGATCCTTCAATTAAGAACTTGTTTAATTGAAGGCCACATAGTTAATTGACTGCACGAGGACTCAAATAGCAGAAAGGCAGTAGGGAGCGTGTGAGAGTGTGCAGGCTGGGAGGTGGGGAGCAGGGGTATCCGGGAGGGAAAAGGGCTGCAGGCAATTGGGCTTATCATAATTCAGAGGTTAGTTCTAAGACCCCACACCCGCCGTGGATGCCAGAAAACTCCTAGAGTACCAAACTCAGATATATACTACGCTTTCCCCTGTAATACACACCTGTGATAGTTTACGAATTAGGCACAGTGAAAGATTAACAAGTAAAAATAAAGTAGAACAATTATAACAATACACGGTCATAAAAGTCATGTGAATGTGGTGTCTCTCAAAATATCTTAGCCCAGGTAATATCTCCGAACAGTGACCGACCGGGTCACTGAGACCGCAAAAAGCCAAATTGAGACTTCGGAACCGGGGGACTGGCAATTTCTGGGACCGCCTAGATTCCGAAGGGGAATCTAATCTTTCTGGGGGGACAGAAAACGAGCGGTAGGCAAGACACTTACTCGGCCGGAAGTACAGGAGAATGCTGGTGAGATAGTTCAGTAACTCCTTAATCTTATGTTTTTCCAGATAATTCCTGGCCTCAAGCTCCCGGCCGCCACCGGGCTCCATCGGGCTGGTGGAGGTTGCTAGGCGACCAGGCAGCGCCGCGCACCCCTGGCCCCGCCCCTTCCGCCTGGCGCGGTCACGTGACCCCCGTGACTGACAGCGAGTTCTACACCTGGTCTGCTGGGGCGGGGGGGGGGTGACCTCAAGGGTGTTGGGAGGGTCAGCCAGGTGGCTGTCGGATAGAGCGGGTGCGTCAGGACTGGACCCGATTTTTTTTCCCTTTTTTATCTCTAGCACGTAGCTCTCTACTTGTTGACCTGATGAACGAGAGCGCCCGCTAACACGGATAACCTAACACCAGAAGGAACTCGTGTGACTGGGGGTGTCCAATGGAGAGTCCTAAATAAGGAACATTTTTGGTGTGAGCAGCCTGCAGCATGGCGCTGGCAAAGGGCAGGGAGGAAGACTATTCTCGCCACCTGATTGTGGGTGGTGAAGCATGCGTGAACCTGAGCATCATTAGCTCTGCTTTCTGCTTAGCTAGACAGCCTGGAGCTGGTCTGTGAGACAGAGCGTCTTACAGGAGTTTTGAGGGTCACTAAGTAAAATGGGATGCAGGTGGGTAGTAATGGGGTTCTGATGAGATGTTGGGGTCCAGTGAGTGGGTTTTGGGGTTACCTCTGAGAAAGGTTTCCTCAGAGTTCCCCTTTCAGTGGCATTGGGGAGTTTTACCAAGAAGTCATTGTAAAGACATAGGTAGGTGAAGGTTATATTCAGCAGGGATAGTTTATTAGAGAAAAACAGTAGAGGAAGGCATGCTTTTTATCAGCAGAATCCTTTAAAGAAATAGTATGTGGAGGGCCTCCCCTGGTGGCGCAGCGGTTGAGCACTGGGCTGCGAGGCTGCCCGCAGCCTCTGCAGCACCGGTTTGTTCCCCCGTCCTCCGGCGAGGGTCCCACAAAAAAAAAAAAGAGAAAGAAATAGTATGTGGAATCCTTACATGTAGAAGAGATGAAAGAGGGGGAGCTCTACATTGGGGTTCACTCATAATCCAAGGTCCCAATATTTAAGTTCCTTTAGTTGTACCTTCTCGCAGGAGCAAGTCTGGCAGCCGGAGTGAGCCTGGTGACAGAAAACTGGAGACTCGGGAACCCACAAAGAACTAAGGAACAAAGCAAATGCATTACTCCGCGGGGGCAGACCCCTGGTTCCTGATGGTTTCTGGGGAGAATTTGAAAACTAGTGATATGGGCTGTTATTCTTCAGTATGTTTTATCTGTTCCCTGGTGGTTTTCTCTGTTCTCTGATGGAAGGGACAGTGAAGCACAAACAGCAAAGGTATAAATTACAGGGGCCCATCCCCAAGTCATAACGATCTAAATGCTTGCCCCTTTAGGGTTGACTGACGATGAGTGACAACTTGGGAAAGTGAATCTGGCTCAGCATAGCAGAAGCCAGACAATAGCAGGGGTACTAAAATGGAGTGGGACCCTTGCAGAGGGCACAATGACTACCAGAAACAAGGACTAGAGATATTGATGAGGCAGGTCCTGAGGCCCAGCTGATAAAGGGGAGTGTCATTATGTCCGTTGACTGGCTTAAAGCCACCATGGCCTCAGAAAAGCTGTCAAAAATGTGAGGGACATTTCTTAGCGGTGAGAAGACTGAAGTTGGTCCACTGGTCATAGTGATTGCTCAGTGCTTGTCACTGTGCTCTAAATACTTGGTCTTCTCCTTGAGAACTTCATATATTTACTCTCCAGGAGTTACTCACTCCTGGAATAAATAGGTCTGCTCTTTATATTCTAGAAACTCATGACACTAAAATTGCAATTGATGGAGTTTTGCAGAGTGTGGGGTCCTTGGGTTCACTCTGGGAAAGGTTTCACCAGAGCTCCCGTTTCAGCAGCACACGGCGAGTTTCCCAGGTGGGTTTCTCCATGAGACAGAGTTAGTATATTTAAAGAGCAGGTTTATAAGGGAAAGGAAAAGGGACAGGTTTTGCTAAGAGGCCTTCATAGTTGCAGGCAGGCGGCCGTGACAGGTCACAGGCAGGCAGGAAGCCACTGCCCTGCAGAGGGAGAGAGTGGGTGAAAAGAGGCACCTGCATAGTCACGCGTGGGCAGTGGGAGTGCTGCCCCAAGCCTGTGCAGAGACTGCACTGATATAGTCCTTTTCTCTTTGGGAAGGGTCACTTCTCCATGGAGTGGCCTGTTTGTTGCTGATGTTGGGTAACAGGCAAAACTAGAAAGAGACCAGAGATGCCAGGGTGGGCCCAATCCCCATATCTTTACCCTCAGGCCTGTGCTCCACTCCCTAGAGCATCTGATCCTGCTTGGGTCTCATGCCTTGTGATAAGGCACTGGCACCTAAGGGTCTGACCTCTACTGCTGGGTTAATGGTTGTTATTCCCCTCGACCCCCACCTCCTTGTGAGTCAGGTTTTGGTCTTGGGGCACCTCCTTTCCAGTCTTTCTATTCTTGTCCTCCATCACAATGATCTAATATGCTCTGCCTGTAAAATCAGGCTGAAAAGAGCACTGGACCCTGCTGAGGTCTTCCCAAGTTGCTGATTGTTTTCTGTTCCAACAAGCCTGGTGCTTTTCTTCACCACAGCACAACAGGGAGGGCCCAGCACTGCCTCTCAAAACATACCTCAGGCAGCTGTGGCCTTGAATCTCCAATTGCCCTGGAAATTATGCTAAAGAGAAGTATCCAAATGCCACCTAGTGGAGTCAGCTATTCTCTGTCGATGCCATTCTTAATATGCAATCAGGACTTAACCACCAGCAGCAGCAGCAGCAGCAGCAGCATCCTGACACTTCTCTGACTCCTTGTCCTCCATCTGCTCATTACTCTGAATATTATTATCCATCCTCACAGTGGTTTGGGAGAGTAACTTCAGGTGGGAGGCATCAATGCAGGATTCTCAATCAGGCTGCACACTGGAACTGTTAGGGGGAAAGGATGTTCTGAGCTAATCCCATGCAGGCTTTGTGGACTCCACCCCCACTCCAGACCAAAGCCAAAGACACTGGGAACTCCAAATCCCATCACCACCAAAGGGAAGGTGGCTGGGACCTGAGTGTGGAGTTAAGCAGCCAGGGTTGGTATAAAAACCAGACACGTGGGCCTTGGGGTCTCTCGTTCTCTCCTTGCCTCCTGGCTTCATGGCTCCTGGCTCGCGGCCAGCTCTCAGAGTGCCATTTGGGATTCCAGATCAGGGGATCGGGTAGGACGCATTTAAAACTTTGTCTCCCACTTTTCTCCCTGAGTTGTACATTTCCTCATTTGCCCTTCCCTTGTAAATCTTTTTATTTTTTTTTTTTTTTTATAGAGGCATGCTTTATTTATTTGTTTGCTGGTTTGTTTGTTTTGTTTATACATGCACTGGGTACAGTCAGAAGCGCGGGAGGGTGAGAGAATTCACCAGAGCCAGAGCGGGGAGCAGAGCAGGCAGAAGGACCGAAGTACACTGCTGAGGGGAGCAGCGGGCGGCAGGAGAAGTCTGCACGCCATGTGGGACCCTCCTCCGGTGGCCGGGGAGCAGCCGGGGATCGAACCGGCGCCGCAGAGGCCGCGGGCAGCTTCGCAACCCAGCGCTCAACCGCTGCGCCACCGGGGAGGCCCTTCCCTTGTAAATCTTTTATTAACCTTTTGTGTGTGCCTGCAGTGGGGTATTGATAAGTCCTTTCAAGCGCGCGGGTGAGGACCCACAGTCAGGCACCCCATTTTTTATCGGGGCTGCCCTATAACAGAACCATATGGGGTCTTTTAAAAAGTACTAGGGCTTGGGCCCCATTCCAGGCCCATGAAATTGACTCTTTTGGATGTAGGCCTGGATATTGGTGGCTTGTGGTGATGGTGGTTTGAACAGCTTTGAGGTATAATTAACTTTTAATAATCTGCACCTATTTAAGGTGGTCTCTTTGATAACTTTTGATGGATGTATATATCCATGAAATCATCACCACAATCAAGATAATGAACGTATCTATCACCCCAAAGGTTTCCATGTCCCTTTCTAGTTCCTCCTTCTTACACCTCCCTTAAATCGGCTATCTGTATAGATTAGTTTATAGTTTCTATAATTTTATGTCAATTGGACCATAGGGATGTGCTATTTTTTTGGGGGGTGGGTGTTTGGTTATCTTTCACTCAACATAATTATTTTTTGAAACTCCCCCATATTGCTGCATGAGTCAATATTTCATTTCTTTGTGTTGCTGAATAAAATCCCATGATATGGAATCTTGTTTGCTCATCTACCCAATTGTTGATGAATTTGGGTTGTTTCAATCTAAGCCTATTACAAATGAAACTGCAAGGAATATTTATATAGGCCATCAGCAGCACCCCACCATCACTACCATCTTCACCAACAGTACCACCACCCCAACACCTCAAGGAATCGCTGTCCTCGCAATCATTTTCTTGATGTCAGAGCAGGAATGACTCACAGATGGGAGGAAGGGTGCTCCAGGCATAGGTCAGAAGTCTTTACTCCCCTGGCAGTAGACAGATGGTGGGGTCGTCTCTCTTAGCTGGGGTGATCGCCAGGTGGCATACAATCCTGTCTTCCTGGCTGAAAATGAAAATGCATTTCCCAAAATCATACTGCTGCATTGTAGGATATATGGGTTTTTGTGGGCTGTCCTGTAACCTAATCACCCTTGATACTACATTTAAGTGGAAAGAATATATTAGATTCCAAATGAAACATTTGGAGCATGGCCCATAGAGTGAGGATACAAAAAGATGGAAAATTGCTTGTATATTATTTTGGAAACAAAGACACCACTTTGCCAACTGTCTTTTTTCAAACAGAAATACATTTTAAAAATACAAAGTGATAAAAAATATGTTGCCTTGAATGTTGGTCATTTCTTTTTGTTCAAAGAATTGTTTTTATTTATTTATGCATTCAAGAACTGGGGTGTAGGCCAGTTTTGTGGAGGGTGAGAGGATTCACCAGAGACAGTGGGGGACAATGGCAGATCCACTGAAATACATTGCTGAGGGGAGCAGCAGGGAGAGACAAGAGACATCTGCTGCATCCTGTGGGTTAGCGCCCTGGCCTGGGATCCAACTTCAT